TAATAACAAAGAACAGATGACACAATTTACCTTGATATATCCTTTCTCGATAAGAAAATGAGCTACCCCAAGATGATATGGAAACAAGAGCCCAGCAGCAGAGAAGCTGAATCCGGGGGTAGTGACCGCCTTCCGCCGCCGCTCGGCTTCCACATCCTTCACACTCTGCTCCCACAAAACCTCAGGCTGGACCGGATCCTCCACCACCGACGCAATTCCCTCCTTCCTTCTCTTCCAAACATAACTCTCCCTCTCTGAATCATCCTCTAACATCGCAACTCTCTCGGATGCCCTAATCTCCCCACTTTCATCCGCATTGCTGATTCCGGCACTACCACCGCCTCGACGGTTCAGAATGCGCGACGCGATTCCGAGGAAAAGCTCGCCTGTGGCAACCGCAAACGACTTCTTCTCCTCCGCCGATGACGGCGGCGGAATTGGTGGCGGACCGGCGTTGGCTTTGACGGAGAAATTGAGAGCGTTGGATGTGCGCAGAGTTAAAGGTTGACGGAGATTGTGATAGAGGTTCGGCAGAGGGCGGGGGTTAGAGAGGGCCGGAGAAGAGAGGGAAGCCATGGATTCGCCGGCAGTTAGTTAGGTACTCCGGAAGAAGAAACAAAACAAGAATTGTGATCCACCATTTTTTATTGTCTAAATTTTCAGTTTTTTAACTTTATTTAACAAATTTGTAAATAAAAAAACAGATTTTTTAAATTTGCTTATCATTCTATCATGAAATTATTATTACCGGTAATTTAATTTTTTTAAAAAAAATTGAAAGCAAGAAATAACTAAACATAGAGTATGATCACTATGATAAGGATAATACTCCGTATATTGCATTATTTATTTCTTCTGGTTTTTTTCTTATTTAATTTTTTTGCCAATATGTTTACAATTTAAACATTAAGTATAATACGTACTCCGTAGTATTTAACAAAAATAGATGGTATGACCGCTCATTAGTTACTACGGAGTACTTTCTAATCAAAATATTCGTTCATTTTGACTTTTTTTATTGAACGTCAAATTTCATTAGACAACATCATTTCATAGTTTCTCGAATCTTAAAAAGTTAAAAAACCCATCAAAAAAAAATACGGCCGAATTAAGTTTGGCGTTTCTAATCACATCAATTAATATCTTAGAAAAGCAAAATAGCAGCGCATTTTGTTAGGAGAAATGCTTGGTTCACAAACACAATCTTCACAAATTTCACAAATTTACTATTTGTAAACTTTAATAAAGAAATTAAATAGTCTAAAATAATTTTAAAATTAAAATTTAAACTATAAATAGTAAGTTTGTGAAGTTTGTGACCTTTCTGTTTGTGAACCTAGCATTGCTCTTTTGTTAGACGATGCACTCAAAAATGGCCAAGTCAAGCTTTTTCCCAAACAAAATGTACATCAATTTCAACATGTTTTGTTTGTTGGTGTTGCACTGAATTTTGTTTGAGATGTTTGTAACATTGTACACGGGGTGAAGGCCCGAAGGCTTAGGATCAGATCGAGGTGTCACCTTTCTTTTCGCCAGACATGGTTGTGATATGCGTACCCAAAGGTTAAAGTAGGTCAATCCAATAAAAGTGTGGAAACGTCCACATTTCACATATGGATCTTACGATCATGAAATTACAGGATTAAAAAATTATGAAATTAAAAAATACAAATAAAAAATTAAAATTAAAAAATTATTGCCAAAAACTACACAGGCATTATATGTATGTCAAAGGACTCCAAAGTTTATTACTCCGTAACACTGGGAACAGCCAGGGTCAGTTAGTGCCATGGCGTAGAAATTTACTCCCTTTTTTTTCATACACTAAAAAAAATTGACAAATGTCTAAAAAAATTCTTTTCATTTGATTTTTCCAGTCAACTTTTTTAAACACTAACCAAATATATGAAAAAATACATTGTGTTATTATATAAATTTATTATCAAAAATTTATTATGAAATCATCTTGGTTGTGTTGACACTAAATTGTAATGTTAGATTATGACACTAGTACAATTAGGAGTTCCCTTTAAATTGAGATAGTGTTCTTTGCCAATTTTCTTTAATAATTTAAATAATTAACATACTCCTATCACCTCGTATTGTATGCTCTTCGTCCAATTTAATTGTGAATTATTTACTCCGTACAAGTTTAAATTTTATTCATTTTTTTAAACTTATTTTTTTTATTTATTTGATAAAATAATATAATAATGAGACAAATTGTATGATACAACAAGATATTCCTTTCTCTTGTTACATAATGACAAACTTGTAAATAAAAAAATATTTCATGAATGAACATTATATTGTTTCAGAATGAACACTACATTATTTCAGAATGAACACTACATTCTTTCAGAATGAACACTAGACTGAACAAGCTTTTGAATTAGCATTACAATTAACAATGAAGATTTATTCAAAATAAACATTCACCCGGTGTACATAGCTCTACATCACACATCTTATTTCGTATAACTTTTAAGTGATTTTAAATATACTACGTATAAATTAAATTTTTTAATTTCACAAAAATTTTCAAATACATCGAAAATAACTTCAGGTAAACATCATAAATTGTAGTAACAAATAAGTTAATTTGAGACAAAGAGATTACAATTTCCAATGTAATTTATAAATTCATAAATGGAGTATTTTTTATTGCTACACCAATTTCCATATAAACTGAATTTAAAAATAACTCTACTCAATTAACGTAATTCACATCAGAGAAGTCATACAGGAACAGAGAGTACATAATAGCCATTAACTTCTCTTACATGAAAAGTTAGAATAATTGGAATCATTTCATTATTCACACTCATCCCTTTCTTCTCTAGGTCATACATAACATCATATATGAATTATATAAAACTCAGAAGAGAGCAATTCCCTAACCTTTTCCTTTCTAACAGTTCAAGAAAACCAAAGCATTCATATATATATATATATATATATATATATATATATATATATATATATATATATACATACATTACATATTCATTTATATCTATCAGCAGAGTATAAAAATTCTTCAATTAAGTTGATGCCTACTTCTCATTTCCAAGACTCATACCTAAGTTTTTTTCATCCTTATATGTCCTCGACTAATCTCGCTGTGGGACCGTCACGACATCATCATAACTGCGAGACAACTTCATCTAATGGACCGCATGAAATCGTAGTATGCCCCACATGTTTAGATCAAGCCTGGTATTACTACCCTTTGTGCTCGTTTGGCAACAACTACAACATTTAGTTTTAGCGTCTTCAAAGTTAATTTGCATCATTAAGAAATCATCCTAAGACTAATTGAAAACACTATTCTCGGGCAAGGCTTATATGTGTTTTAACATTTTTAGACGATATTTTTCCTAGGACAATGTCCGATGTCGTGGGGCCACAACGCTTCTCGAGACCAATCAACCAAGAATATTTTCACAGGTATCCGGGCTATCCAGCCACAATCTTGTACCGAAACGCACCACCTTCTTTGTTTGGGAGCGAAACCGGTCAGATTCAAACTAGGTTTGCATCACCTTCAGCAATAGAAGCTTTGCCGAAGGTGACGATCAGCCCAGAACATTTGGAGGGCTGTAACTCGAATTGTGGGGTTTGCAAGGACGAGTTTGAGGTTGGGGTTGAAGTGAGGGAGTTACCTTGCAAACATGTCTACCATGTTGAGTGTATTGCTCCATGGCTACAAATCAGTAACACTTGCCCAGCGTGTAGATACGAGGTACAAGGTTTTTGCTCTTCAAGCCATGGCGTCGAGGAAGAGCATAATACTATGAACAGTTTTGGCCACGCAGAAGAAATGGATGAGGAAGAAGAAGAAGAAGAAGAAAATGTAAGGAGTTCTCTTACATGGTTGTGGGATCCCCTTCGTTCTTTATGGCCATTCTGTGTGCTGTCAAATTGGATCAGTCAACCTTTCAATCTCGAAGAACTTGAGTACATCACAAATTCCATGTAAAATACATAAATAACCAATATTTGGGTTGCACTCAGCTAGTTGCGATTACTCTTTGAAGTTGATGCAAAACATGAGAATTTCGCTCCCTAGAGAATATCATGCTTTGCAGTACTTAGTCTTTCTTTATTCATGGAGTGTAAAAATCTTAGACTAATACTAACGAATGATGTTTGCTTTCTTGGATAGAGACACCCGACGATACACCCTTCTCAAATGCTACTTTTTGTGGGATTTTACTGAATCTATTGTTGTTACACTCACACTGCAGATGTTAAAATATACAACTATCTCAATTTAATTTTGTATGAGTTTGAAAAACCGCAATGGGTATTACATATCTGAGTGTCATGGAGTGAAACAGAAGCCAATTACCTTAGGTGTAGACCCCACAACAGCTCCGTTAACATATATGCATTGTTTGTATACAGTTATGATAGGCATTAACCTTCATGTTAGAAGCGCTAGCATCCTACTCAAAGAAACTCCATTAGGCGTGGTATCATATCCAACATAGCAATGTCAAGAACCAGCATAAGACTGCAAAATAAATCCACACCTCAAGCTGACAAGAATAAGCGGTTTAGCATGAAAATCATCTATCAAATCGAAATTACTTGAACTCATCCCCATCTCATAATATTTTCCATGCAAATGGGATTAAACCTATTATGGTTGTGGTTTTTGAGATATTGTCTCATTATTCCTTCCTCAAAAGTATGTGACACAACGGGGATCTTTAGAAGATTGTGGCACAAAGGGAATCCAGTGTTAAACTTACCTAGTATGCTCTTTGCATGTATTTAAATTGTGGGAATGAGTTTTATTTGAAAAAGAAAGAAGCAATATCAACCATATGAATTCTCTCATTAAAAAGAAATAAGGAATATGGCATGAGGATTGAGGAAAAGTGGGAATGAAAAAACGAGAAGAGAAGGAGTAATAGTTAATGAAAAAGGGCGAGAAATCAAATCAAAACAACATGTCTCCTTATTAACAAAAAAAAATATAACAATAATGGCAACTAACCTGATGGAGATGATGATGATGCTGCTGAAGAAATTTGTGATAACGAGCCAAAGCTAGTTGCAACCCATTTTTCCTGGGTCCGACTATAATGATATGATTCCCCGGGCAGAGGAGAAAGACTAGGTGACATCTTCAGCATGACATTGCCTGACAGTGGGGAATTAGCAAAGTAAGACAAAACGGGACCAGCTGGTGATGGGCCTGGACCAATTGGTGGTGAAGCAGTGATAACAGGTGGAGATTGCCAATATGTGTCCCCAGGAAGTGGGCCATAGCTTTGGTGGCTAGCATAAGGTGGCGAGGGGAATGGGGAGTGAGACGGAGCTGAAGCTGGAGCAGGCATTGGAGGAAGGGACTGAAGTGAATGGCTTAGGAAGGAAGATAAACTTATTTGCTTAACCTTACCAAATACAGAGTTATCAAGGCCAAGATTTGCTGAGGGAGGGGATCGGGTGATTGTTCGGGCTAATTGTTTCAATCTTTCCAGTGGTAGAATGTCAACATCCGTAACAGCAGAGACTTCAATTGTGACAGGAGGGTCTCTTGTAGAACCAATCTTGTTTTTCACCATCACAAAAACTTCCTGATAAAACATATGAAAAGACAAAAAAGACGAATTTAAACACCACATGGATTTTTTATAGACAAAAGCACAAACAAAGACAAGCCAACAATACACACACAGATGCTCTGTTTGGTTTAGAAGATAATTTGAGAAAAGAGAATGAAGGAAGAAAGTGTGAGAGATGAAAAAATAAGAGGAAAAAAAATACCTCGTGTGGCTTGAGATGTAAGCCAGACTTCAGCTGCTCCTTTAAAATGACATAATTCTCCTTTATTACTTCAACAGAGTTATGGAGAGTGAAGTTGAAGAGGATCTGAGGTGCATTCCAGAATGGAGAGAGGGGTTCAGGAATTATAGTCATTCCATTTGGAAATTTCAGAATCTCAAAAGAATATGGCTCTCCAAAGATTGAAGTAGTCAGGGTCAGATTGGCTTGTTTGAGAAAAAGATCTATGAATAACATTTTCAGCAAATCTAGGGACTGCTGATTTATAGATGAATTGGCTTGATCGGGAAACACACCAAATATTACATCACTCTGGTTATGTAAATCTGCCTGGTGCATGGATAGAATTGCGACCTGCCACCAATCAACTTTTTAGTTTCAGCCGACTTCCAGGTCAAATTCATTGCATTGATAGACTAGGATATGATATCTGGTAATCTAACATTCAAGGGAACTAATCAGATCCTTACTGTTGACATAGAATACAAACCTTTGTAGAAGGGACTCCTAACTCCCCATAGATATCATATTCTAGTCTATCAATGCTATGAATAAGATCTGAAATCGGTTTCTTTAGTCTGATGTATGCTTGAACAGTAGCTGAAATAGAAACAATAAAAATCAGAAGATATCAAAGCAAGACAAAAATGCAATTTATAATTATTGAGAATTAGTATTTCAAAATTCTAATTCATTGCAATGTTAATGTAATGCCCACAGAAATTCAAGAACCAAAACGACAATAACAACAAAACAAATATAATCTGACTAAGTTCGTGTTTGGGAGTCAAGATGTAGTACTACCAATTTTTTATTGAAAAAGCTGACCCCGAAAGCTAGAGTTTGATAACGTCTTCAATATGTTGAAGTTAAGCACTACACTCAAACTCTAGCTTTCGGGGTTATTTAGCAACCCTAAAAAATTGTCCAAAATGCTAAAGATGATCACAAATATTGTTCTAAAAAAAAGCTTTAGTTTGGAATTTTGAATCAATCCATTATATAGCTGAAGTAAACCATTGCGTTAGACATGCTAGAAACACTATGCACAAACAGATTTCCTGCAAATTTCAAATGTTTTTACTCCATAAGATTGCAATCAATTCAGATACTGCCACACAAACCTAGCGCAAATACGAGATAATCACAAAAATGGAAGATGCCTGGAAAGGGGAAGGGTTAAAGTAGAAGATGAGGACTCACAGCCGAGCTTGATTGCCTCCTTCGCATCAAACCCAGACGAGTAAGGGCGAAGAGGAAGGACAGAAAACGCTGCGGAGAGAAAAACGGCGACGCTCAGTAGAAGGACGAAGAAGCACTTGAAATTGAAACGGTTGAAAAGATGAGAGAGACCGCCCATCGGACATCCCCCGCCGGGCCGACTCCGGCGGCCTTGGTGTTGATGCAGTGGCAGTTGCTGATCATCGGATTTCCCCATTCAGTGAGCATCTGGAACAGTTCACCCTCCGATCGAGCTCAGTTTTACTCCACAGCTTCTCAATTCTGTTTCGGTGGTTTCAAAGATGCAGAGAGAGAGAGAAAAGAGAGACAAGTGGCGATTTCGTGGTGAAGTTATGCAAGCCCCCGCTCTCAAGCAACCGTACATAAAAACAAAAATAATGAAATTACAAAATACTTTCCTTTTCAAAATGCCTGTCACATTAAATATAACGAAATAAAATTTTAAATTTTTTCGATACATTTTATTTAAAAGTTAGTATAAAAACATAAAATTTATATATTTTAAAAAACTACTAGTATCACACTCGTGCGTTGCACGGGTCATAGTTACGGTACTAACTTAAGATCATTTTTAGGAATATAATGGAATATAGATATTTTTAAGATCATTTTTAAGAATATAAATTGTTATATAATGGAATATAGATATTTCATTATTTTAAAATACAAAATTAAAATGATTTACAAATTTCGAAAGACTTCTTTATAAACTACATCAATCGTATGTCTAATTTGTGTGAGCATTCACTTCGTTGTATATCAGAATATTCAAGACATTGCGATTTATTACTCTTTAAAATGCAACATACACTTTCTCGTGACTAAATACCAGTTTCCGTAACAATAATTCAATATGTTTTAAATATTGTTCTTGATAATAATTTAATAATTTGACTTAAGTAATAATTCAACATATTAATGTATTTATTTTGGAATTTGTATTTTTTAATTTTATTTTCGTATTTAAGTGGTACCATTAACCTACCCTAGGGTATTTATTTTCTATTTTATTTTAGATCTCTTACCATTTGTACACGTTTCCATGCTGGTAAATTATAGTATTAATAGTATTTATTTTAGAATACTTATACCATTGTTACATGTTTCCATGCTTATAATATTAATAGTATTAATTTATAATTTTTTTAATTTTTCATTTTAATGGTACCATTTGCTTAATGTACCATATTTATTTTTTAATTTATTTTATAACAGTTACCATTTTTACACGTTACCATGCTTGTAAATTGTAGTATTAATTGATAGTACTCATTATTTTGTAGTTTTCTATTTTATTTTTTTTAAATGGTATCATTTACTTACCGTACCGTATTTATTTTCTAATATATTTTAGAATACTTATCGTTTTAATAATTATTTTATTTTCTAATTTATTTAGAACACTTACCTAAATTATTTTAGAACACTTACCATTTATTTTATTTTGTGTTTAAATGGTACCTTTTGCTTATCATGGTGACATACCATCACGTATTTATTTTCTAATTTTCTAATTTGAACACTTTCCTTTTTTAAAAAAATCATGTTTTTAAAGTATAGTATTAATATTAATTTTGCAGTTTTTTAATTTATTTTCGCATTTAAATCGTACTAATTACTTACTAAACCACATTGTTTTCTAATTTATTTTAGAACACTTATCATTTTTAGATGTACTCTCTCTGTCCTTAAATAGATTATAATTTTTTTCTATCCTCTCGATAACTTTTGTTTGTTTACGCGATTTCATTAAGTATTTGATAAAATAAAATATTCTTATCACTTCTTGTTTTGTAGAACTTTTGATGTAATTGTTTAATATGTAATTTTTATATCTTATTGATATATCAATTTGTAAATAAAATGATTTCAAAAAGTAAGAAATTTTACTCCGTGACCCGAAATTTGTATTGAAATTGGGGACTGAGGGAGTATTTTATTCTCTCTTTTATATTAGAACATTGACCTAATTTGTAGTTTGTTTGAAATAAATCATTTTAATTCTGCCCATACTATATTAATTTGTAATTTTTAAATTTTATTTTAATATTTAAATGCCAATGTATTTTATTTTCATACTTCAATTTCCCAATGGTTCACTACTATTTAATTTAATTTAAATGCTTAAATGGTGTAACATTTAAATAAAAATAAAAACATACTTAAAATGGAAGGAAAACATTAAGGTAAAATAATTAAACTACCATTTATGTTGTCAACACTTTCCATATATGAGTGTCATGCATGGGCGGGAAAAAATTCATGTCTTTTTAAATAATGTATAGATGTATAGATGATCAAAACAAAATGTGATAAAAATATATTATTTTATCAAATAATCGATAAAAATATATAAATAAAGAAGTTTTCGTGATTTATTAATAGTGAACTGTGACATTCTTTTTTTGACTAATTAGGAGTAGACTCTTTATACCGGAACCGGCTGGAGTTGGTACCGATTTAGTTTGTTTTGTGTTTTTATATTTTCAAAACTTATTTTCAATTTGCTTGAGGTTTGTTCATACTCCTCCGTAATATTTTCCACCAAGAAAAGATTTTGGAGCCAACTACTTCTTTGACAAAAAGAAAAATAAAAAAAAATTATTTGGAATCAGAACCATTTCTACATGGTACCGATTCCAAATCCCCAAAAATAAGTAATGAGTTGCCGGTTCCGGAACTGAACCGTGCTACCCACGACCATACCACAGTGTTACCATTCACGTTGATATATGCTAAATTGCTAATATGACATTACACTACCATAAATTCACATTGCCAAAGTTTTTTTTATTAAGGAGTACTTAAGAGATACAAATATTTGGTTGGCACTTTATTTTTATCTATGAATACTTTATTTACTTGTTGTTATAGAGAACAACTCCACTTTTATCTTTGATACTTAAGCATTTTGAAAATTCTATTCAACAATAGATTTTTGTTTTAGAATTTTTTAAATTAATTTACACCGTTAAAAAAACAATCTATAATACTAACATTAATTGAAAAAATATTATTTCAAAATAAGACTTTTAGTCATTAGTTGGATTACAGTGCAAACTAATCAATTTTGATACTCCCTACATTAGAATTACGGAGTATATTGTTTATAAATTTATTCAAACAAATCATGTCAATTTTGACTTTTTATAAACATAAATTCAAAAACTATTATCCTCGTCTTCCATATCCCATGTTTTATATGGGATATATGATTTCACTGTAACACGACTCAAATATTTTTTTTGTTTTACATTTAAGCTTTGTGTTAGGGGGCCTGAGTACTTGAGGGGGAGCCTGGCCATCCTCACTCACGAGTCACGCCCCCATCCATTACATACTTACGGTGAGGGGGCGTTGCCCCAATTCAAGTGACAAACATCACTCTGTGATGGCCTCTCCCTTCCCATTATTTTTTTTCTTTTTTTAAGTATTTTAAGTAATCAAAATCTAACACATACTCAAATCTTATCACTTTTCTTCTTATCTACCATAACACACATATTTTTATCAGTAGACATCATACTTTTTATACTCCATCAAACCTCGTCAAGCCTCTGCATAACACATGTTCTAATCTCTATACATATTAATATATTTCTCCATCTAGAATTCAAGCAATAGAATATAATTCTGGTTTTTAAACTCTATACTCAAGATTTCATTTTATATATTTCATTGGGATCAAATTCCAAGATTCTAGAACTGAATAGTTGGGATTAAAATTGATACACTATTCGGGAGCGTTATTCAATTGATAAATATGCGTGCAAAATACATAATAATTGGACTTAACTATTGTCAATGCTAATGGAGACCGATTAGCTTAGTATGATACCTTACACATACCAGAGCCATATACACTTGATATTAATTAGTTAATTTAAGATTAAAATTATGTTCAAATTTTTTTTCAAATTACTATTCCAGCCGGTCCTGTGCATCATATAATGTTTTTTTTTTTCAAATTGGTACACCACATATATCGTATTTTTTGGATGGAGGTGACAATGATCTTTAAACCCATAAGCTACCTTTTTTTGTGCAACCCATAAGCTACTTATTTTCTATGTTTAGGCATAATCTATCTCTTAAATTTGGTTAATTCGTCACATCATTATATATTAACTTTTGCAAAGTTTGATAGATCTTCGACTTTGATCTCCAACCTTATTAAATTAATTTCAACCCTAAGGATCCGTTTGGTACATGGAATTGATGGAATTAGAATTGAATTGGAATTAAAATTTCATGAAATTCAATTTCATAGAATTGAATTCACCAATTCCAAATCATTTTTTGTAATATCAATTCTAAATCCACATAATTTTTGTGCTACCAAACATGAGAATTGAAATTGAAGTATTCAATTCTAATTCCATAGTTTAAATTCCGTGTACTGAACAGGGCTTAAAAAAATTATTTCTGAAATCTGGTTATTTGGAACCAAGACATCACTATCTGCAAACATAGACGCGCACACATTTTCATTACAATTAAATTATGGAAAATGTTTGGGGAACTCATTTGAGGTACACCAAATGTACACGAAAGCAAAAATAGGCAAATATAAGTATTTAACGTTTGTGCATGCACATACATTTTGTCCTTGTGTACATTTAGTGTATCCCATAACGCTCCCCTTAAATTATTTTACACCAAGAAAGCACTGGCGGATCTACTTGAATATTAAGGGGGGCAGTTGCCCCCAGTGAAAGTTGTATTGCTGCAATATACCAGAGTAAGATTTTCTTTAACGTAGTGCTCCGTATAAGAAGTGCCCCCAGTCAATTGGTCAATGCTAACGATTGCCCCCATCCTAGCAATAGAGTCCAACCAAATCTTTGCCTAGCCCAATTAAGAAAAAACTCTTCCATAACTCATTAATTGTTCTCGTTCCACATTCTCAATCTCTGCCATGTTAATTTTTATTTTCTAGGGTTAATTTATTCAACATAACTTTTCATTGACTCTTAATTTGTTTTCTGCTAGATATTTTAAAGAAATTGAAATTTCCATTTTCTTTTCAACTGCTTAGGTAAATTTTACTTTTTATTGTTTCTAAAATTTCAGTCTCTCAGTAGAAAGTTATATTTAATTCACGCTTTTGAAGCAGACTCCAGAGAATGTAGTCTTCAGGACTTTAGAATTTGACTTCAGTTTATCATTCTCTTTAGAAAAAATTTGAATTGATTTTTTTTACACTTTTGATACAAAAAATTAGGTTAGATATAACATGTGATTCAGTTAACTAACTATTGCTGTTGACTTTTTATGTGAAATTGTTATTTAAAAAGACTCAAATAGTGTAATGGCATATACATTGGAAAATGGAAAAGATTCACCAATATTGGTTTTACAAGTAATACCCGCACACTTGTAAAATGTTTGTGTACAATAAAACATGTGAGATGTTTTTCTACAATAGAGCATGTGAAGATTGATTTGCGCAATGGAATTGGAGACGAATTTCTTACTCGTGTAATTTGTGATGTGGAGAAAGAAGTGTTTTTTGATATTACAAAGATATAATTGATCATTTTCGAAAAACGAAAATTCATAGAGAAGAATTCTAAAATGTAATAAGTTTATTTAAATATTTTCTCTTTATGTAATTTAAATTTATGCTAACTACATATGCCCCCGGTGAAAAAAATTTCTGGATCCGCCACTGCAAGAAAGTGCATACACCAAGGTTCCACATTGGGTTCCAATGTAATGGGATGACTCAGGAGTGCTCCAGTGCCCTGTGCGTAAAATTGACGGTTCCTACTCCCCCTAACCCCCCCGGTAAACCCACTCACCCTGCCCCGACCCGAACACACCCCCCACCCCCGTCAATTGCACTAAACCATAATGGTACCGTACCATTTCATCTATTTTGAAATGGTATTTGATTTTTCATCACGAACCGATCACGAACCGCTCTCAAACGGGCGGGACCGTGATACCAAAATTAAATACCGGTAATCCCGGACCGTTTAAAATTCCATATATTTTGTAAAAATTATATTGAGCTATTAAGGATATTAGGCATTTAATATCACTAATTTAAAATCTAAGTAGTTTTATTAATTTATTTATTTTTTAGGCTAAAGACCTTAGTGCCAAAAACCCCTAATTAGCCCATGTTGCCATTCTGGGCTTACTCATGTGCACTACGGAGTACAACTAAATTTACTCCCAAATTACAAATTAGTCTCAAAAATAAAAATAGGGCAATTATACTTTAGACTTAAGCATTTATTTTTTGAAGGTTTTGTTGTGCTAAAGCTAAATTATTAACTATGAATGGCTGTGAGTTTTTGTTGGCAGTGAAAAAGTGTGCCTATAAAATTTATTGTGATTGGCAGTAACTTATTTTTTTTGGCTTTAATATGAATATAAGTGACCTATGGATTGACAGTGAGCTTTTTAATTGTTTTCAAGTATCCATGACTCCATGCCAATTTGAAATCTATACATTTTTAAAATAAATTTGTGCGCTTTTATACACAATTATACTTTTATTTTAATATTCTTTGAGTAATGCATGTTTAATATTTTGGCACGGTTTGAACATGCGTATGGTAGTGTACCGTTCCGTTTTAAAATGGAATGGTACCGAATGATTTTAGGATTCATCCCGTACCGGTACCAAACCGTTTAAATAAGAACGGTCCATGATAAGTTCCGGTAGTATCACGGACCGTTACGAACTGCGCCCACCCCTACTTACAGTGGGATTGGAGTGGGGGTGCATGGAAGGCGATAAGGTGGGGGTTTAGGAGGTGGGTTTAGAAGGGATAAGAATCGTTAATATTACGAATAAAGCATTGAAAGTGCTTCAAAATGACAATGACACCGGTGTGTCACCGTACTCCGGTGTGACTAGAATCTCAGTGTAGAAAAATATCCAAAGACAAATGGATTGTTCAAAGAATTTACAAATCCAAAGTAGCAAACGGGTTTTTCACTTTCAATTTTCGAATACAGACAAGAGTTTCAGTATACTCCGTATAACAAAAAGTCAAAAAATGAAAAAAAAGAAGTCTCCAATTCCAATCTCCATCTCCCCTCGCACTTTTTTGAAATTTGAAAAAGACGCTTAAAATCCCGCCTCTCTCTTCCGGCCACTCTATTTCTTCCACCGTCAAATCTGGCAAATTCAGAGAAAGCTCGAACCAGGTAGCTCAGAAATCTCCGCATCTCTTCCTATTTTACCCCCCATTGATTTTGCACCTCGCTGATTGTGTGGGTTGACGAATCTGTGAATGACTGAGTGAAGAATCTGTGCTTAATTGCAGCATTTTAGCAATTTTTTTCTTCTGATTTCGTCTCATAAATTTGAACTCCGGCGCTGAGTTTATTCAGCTCCTTTGCATTTGGATCTGCAGATTCTCGTTGTCGTCATCAATTTTCCCTTTCCGGTAAGATTTTCTGGTTTTAAGTGTATATTCGCATTTCTTTATGCTCCCCTAGGGTTTGCTTGTGATAGATTCTGACTCTGAGAAGCATAACTAGAACAGGAATTTAGTTTTTTTCACTTGTTTGTATGTTTGATTAACTCGACATTGATACTCTCGTTTTTAAAAATAAAAAAAAACAGATTACATTTCCTTATTTGGGCGATCTCCGGCTGAAATGTTCCATAAGCTAACTAATCGTTGAGATGATTTTGCAATTAATAAGATTTTTATGAACACAGAATCATGTTTATTCAATTTTGACAGATGCTGTAAAACTGAAGATTCTCCCAATCTCTTATGTCTAATACGCAACAAAGTAACTTTCAAGAAGCTTAAATGAACAGACCCTTAGTCAATTTGGCTTTTCTGGATTGAATTCATATGGATTTATTGTAATGTACATACAACAAAGTTAAAAAATTGTATCTTGATTTTCAAACTGAATTTACAACTGATTATGCAAGTCTCTGAATTATATCTGTATGGTGAGTAATATTGACTGCAACATGTTTGCTTTTTGCAGTCAAAGAAATGGACTCTCTACCCGATGCTCTTGTCCATTACATTCTATCACACATAACCAATGCCAAAGACGTGGCGTATTCCTCATGTGTTTCCAAACGTTGGAAGGAAACAATGCCACTGATTCGGAGCCTTTTCTTCCCCCGCAATCTCTTCGAAAACTTCAAGAATGGAAATTCTGATGCTGTCATAGGGCAGATGATCTCATCTGTTGAGAGACTAGAGTCACTTTGTATCTACTGCCCTTTCTCCGGGGTCAGCCTTGCTTCATGGCTTTCCCTCGTGGGCCCATCCCTACGGAGCCTTGAGCTGCGTATGGACAACCTAGCTGAACAACAAAATCAGTCCAAGTTGGATTCCATAAGAGAAGCATTCAATGTGGAGTGTTTGAAGCTCTGGGGCGTGCTTATGAAACATACCCCCAAGTGGGACGCTTTCCATAGGCTTAAGATTCTTGAAATAGTTGGGGCTAAAGCTGATGATGTGGCAATTTCTGCTGCATTGAGGAACTGTCCGAATTTAACGCAACTTCTGCTGTTAGGGTGTGAGGGGCCAGAGTCTGTAGTAATTGAACTCCAGTATCTTGAGCGTTGCAAGCTTGATTTCTATGGGGCTGGTAACTGCACACTGTCTCTTAATTGCCCAAAGCTTGAAGACCTAGAGATACAAGGGTGCAGTTGGATTAGAGCGTGCGAGATGAAGTTCTTGAGGAATCTTACAATTGCCAACAATGGAGGTACTAATATTTAATTCAATCACAATGGCTATAAATTGAGGCTAGGTGGGATATCTACAACAACTGGCCTGACGGTATTGTTTCATTTCACATGCAGGGAGAGTTTATATGGTAGATCTTGGAAAGCTTGTAGCTCTTGAGACCTTAGCCATGAGGGGGATCCAATGGAGCTGGGATGCTACAAGCAAATTGCTTCAAATGGCCAGTGAAGTGAAGCAACTCTTCATGAAAGTGGAATTCACTGGGGACTTTGAAGCACTCTTGCCTTTCCCTGAAGTCGATTTTGTTGACTTCTTCAATAACCACCCCAAGCTCCAAACATTTGACATCCATGGTGCTATGTTCGCAGCACTATGCCAAAAGAACAGCCTAAAAAACGTGAGTTCTGCAGTTACCTCAGTTGAGTTTTAGATTAATATTTACGCGTGTAGTTCATGTCCATTGCCAATGGAGCTAAAATAGTCATTTTTAGCTTTGGGTAAATAATGAAATCAAAGTGACACATTAAACTTTTTATGCTTCTTACTTTTAAAGAAGTTTTGGGTAGACTGTGTACATCTTGACCCCAGACTCACAAAGTTATATTTACCCGTGCTGTTTTTTTTACTGCAGTTGGATTCCAAGTTTGTGATTCCGTGCCTGGAAAAGGTTGTGGTCACAGTGAGATCTCCACTCAATGCAGAGCAGAAAATGAGCACTCTGGAGTCATTGTTGAGGTACTCCAAGAATTTGAAAAGAATGACAATAAAGATTCTTCAGATGAAAAGCAGCCACAGCAGCTCTGATGAATTCTTTGAGGATATATGCAGATTCAGACATATGAACCGCAAGGTTGTATCCATTGAGTAGAGGATACTCGTTTCAATTCTCCCCATGGGAGGGACATCATTCTTATTCTCCATCATCAATAAAGGTTCTTAAGGCCCATTTGTTTTGCCTGTTAGAACGTGTATCAGTTATGGGTTTGGGAATTCCAAACTCACCTTGTGTTTCTTTACCAAAACCACCCCACAAACTCACTCTCAAAACCTGTCAAAACCATTCCCTGATCAAATCTATTTTCACACTGTTGTTTCTTTTGCCATTACTTGACGGTAACAGATCCTTCAAACTAGTGTCGCTTCATGTTCTTGAAACACCTCTGTTTGGGTAATTGGGACATCCTGACCATCAAATTCTTTGTAAAATTTGGAAAGTTGGGTGTTTCTCAATTCTTGACCTCGTCCCTGTATGAGTACCCTTCCCTGTCTCCGTGCAACTTAGGTAAGAAGATGACCACTAGAGCAGTAGAGCTTCAGTTCCTATCTTACCTTAAAATCCAATCCCATTTCAACTTCATTTCTAATAATGTCAACCAGAAGTCACTTGAGTTCTAACCAAATGGGCTCTAATAGATTTGTTATTCTTTTTTTTCCAACTTGTGAGAAGTGGAAGAGTTTTACTCACTGAAATGCTTTATGATATTTATAAATTGTGATTGACTATTATCTTGTATTTTTGTCCTGAGTATTGACATTATTTGCTGTTATTTTTGTTAGTAACTTCATTTGGGAAACGTATGTGAGCAGTAAATTGTTGGATTCAATACTGAGACTTGCTGATATGAAGAAAAGTATTCCCTTCAGCCTAATAAACTTTATTCTGTTTATTTTTATGATTAATGTAATGGTTAAAAAATGATAAAGTGTTGAAAAATTATAAATGTATGATTAGAATTTATTTAGATGATAGAGAAATGCTGCGGGCCAAATTTGTTACGAGTATTTAAAAAGAAAATAAAGCAAATGAGAGTTATTCTTTCATTCTTTGAGATGTTCAAAAAAGAGTGAATTAAGTTTTTTGGGAAGGGGGTTATTTTTTTGAGGGCAAACTCTTTTATTGATGATTGGCTCATGGTGGATCTTTACGTATAAGCTAAATAATGATTTGTTAACTAAAATATTTGGTAAAGATATAGAAAAAATATGAGAATAATTTGCGTTAATACATTGTTTAACAAATCTTTGGTTGTTATTCCCTTTGCCCCAAATGAAATTACTTGCTACGATTTACGTTGTCACATTGAAGTTATTTTTTGTTTATTTTATTTGAAAATTGCAAGAATAAAAAAATTAATTTATACTATGTATATTTTAAAATTATATCAAAAGTATTAAATGTGTTTGTACCAAACAAGAGTTGCCATAATTATATACACGTAACGTTATCAAATAAAGCATCAAAAATAGTGAAAACCGATTAATAAAGTTTTGACCCAAAAATATGAAATACACAATACAAATTGGGAAGGCATTGTATATGTATGTTTTCGGCTGTTTTATTATGCAAAAAAAAAAAAACTATTCGCAAAACAATTCGGTGTATTCCGGGTGGTGTACACCATTTTTGTCACAGACACACACCGATGCTAGCTGTCCAACAGACATTACACGCTGATGTATATTTGTATATTTATGGAATATTTATTATTCAACATGAGGTGATCAATTCTCAATACAACCTCTTTAAAAAAATTAATACTCAACCGAGGGCAGTAATTTTTGTTACTAGTTTTTTTTTTTTTAAAAAAATAACCCTTGCCTCTAATCTTGTTTGGCAAAAAGAAAGAGGCCTAAGTAATTTAAAGAAGCTTCTTGTGCCTGAAAAATCTCTTCAGTTGCCAGACTTGGAGAGCTGAAATAAGAATGCAGACTCCCAGGGAAATGAGGCTGTATCTTGCCACCTTCGCATTTGTCTTGTTACTCATCCTCTGCATTCTTACATCCCTGATCAATTAATTAATTAAAAGGAATCAAATCATATTTAGAGCTAAGACAATTCTATTACATACATTCTCAGTATTTTCAATGATTTTAGTGTAACGGTGTCAATGAGATTGCGATTTTGCCTTCGTCACCGCCGTTATACCACAATATTATTATAGCATAACGACGACAAATGACATGCATATAAGAAACCCAGTCATATAAAATGAGTATAATAATATAACATGAGTTTTATTATGACGACACATGATAGGTCTCAAAAGAACATCATTGTCTCGAATTTAGCTTCACACTTTTCTTTTTAGATTGTCTCAAAATAATCTTCATAGTTATTTAGATTGTCTCGAATTTAGCTTCACACTTTTCTTTATCTTTTAAACATTTTTTTGTACCTTGTGACGTTATTGTGTTGCAACTAACTCGAGATGGAGGAAGGTATATAGGTTAATAAATTAGCAAATTAAATTAGAAAGACTACTTTAACATGAGATTGAGTGTACTTTGCCGGATGGCCTTTGTTGCTTCTTCAAGCTTTCTCAGTTCCAGCTGGAGACCCTGCACTTCTTGAAAAAAAAAAGAAAAGGAATTCTCTTAGAAAAGGCATAGAACTATAGAAGAAATCCATTTTCATGATTTTGAAGAAATTTGTTAAGGAATGTAGTAGAGTTTGTCGTTAATGAGCTCATTCTTGTTGGGCTCGTAATTAGGTCATAGTCTTGTAGCTATTATAAATAGCAGATTTATGTGTAATCAAATTAATTCAAGTTTAGTTCTAATTATATTTCTACATGGTATCAGAGCCAACGTTCCTGGTGGCCTAAAAATTGTTTCGTTCGCTCCTGGCGGGCGGTGCCACCGCCATTAGCCGTCCGCCGGGCTATTGTCCAAAGACCAAAGCCAAGTTCCATGCCTATAAACCCTAGTTATTTCGTAGCAAAATTGCACGATCATCTTTGCAATCCCGTCCGTCCGTCTTCCTCTGCAAGCACCGTCCCTCCCTCCCTCTTTCGTCCGTTTTCATCTGTGTCGTCCAGCAGATCTGCTCCTCTAGCAGATTCGTCCGTCCAGCATCGCCAGCGCGTCTCTGCATCGCCGAAGGTTCCCTCCGTCCGGAAGTTCCCTCCTTCGCCCAGCAGATCCGTCAGTCTCCTCCTGCAAATCCATCGATCTACCGCACCGCTGCTTCAACATTGTGCTCGCTGGCTGAAATCGTGCATCCCGTTTTGTCCGGAACCGTCTCTGTCCCGTTTCCTTCGCTCAATTCCGTTGCCGATTTGTTTCATCCAGTTGTAACAAACTCTTGTTCGGCCAGTATGGCATGCTTTGCATGCCACTTAATTTGGAGAGAGTCAACCGCGGTACTGTAGGTCAATTGCCATTAACAATAGATTGAGGCTTCTTTTCAACTACTGGTCAATAGTGGTGAAAAGAAAAAAAAAGGGTTACTTTGGTTTGTGCACCGGTTTTTGTACAGTGGTTGTTGGTTTGTCACTTTGTTGAATTTGTTTTGATTTGTTCGTGCTTCGAGGAAGAAGGTTTTTATGTTCACTCTACCGGTCATCGAAATTTGATGATGTTTTTGGCGACATTGTTTTTGGTTGCTATTTGGTATGTTCAAGTGCAACCAGCTGTATGTTCGACTTGTTTGTTTGTGAGGTTGGTCGCATAGTCGCGCCTCAGTTCGACATATCAATTTGTGAGGTTGGTTGCATAGTCGCGTCTCAGTCCGGCAACACGGCCTCCAAGTTTGGGATGCTTGTAAGTCGTCCCCGTGTCATCGCGTGGGAGTCATTCATCATCAAAATTTATTGTTTGTTTGCAGGGCCGGTCACCTTCGTTTGTTGTTATCACAGCAGATCAAGTTCAAGTTGTTTATCAATTTTTTTAGTCTTAGTTTTGTTTTAATTGTCCAAGTTGTGCATTCCTTCATCTCATGCTCAACTTGAGGGGGAGTGTTAAGGAATGTAGTAGAGTTTGTCGTTAATGAGCTCATTCTTGTTGGGCTCGTAATTAGGTCATAGTCTTGTAGCTATTATAAATAGCAGATTTATGTGTAATCAAATTAATTCAAGTTTAGTTCTAATTATATTTCTACAAAATTGAACCAAATACATCATTTTAAATACTTGGTGAACTTTTTAAATACGAAACTTATTTTTTTTTGTCAAAAGATACAATGTTATGGATGAGAAGAATTTAATTCAGATCCAAATTCAAAATTTTTAAGTTTCCCATACATGGTGATGGGTATATCCTTATACCCGACCCGGATAACCAAAAGGGACAGGTCAAAGTATGACCGGTCACTTTTATCATTCACCAAATGATGTTAACTCTTCAATTGGGATGAGTCAAAAGTTGACCGGTCACTTCCACTAAAAAAGTGACCGGTCACATTTTGGGCGATAGCCAAAATGTGACCTAATGTTACGAAGAATATTCAGGAATACCAAAGAGACGGGTTGAGCTCAAGAAATGACCGGTTAACCTTTGAGAAAAGGTGACCGGACATATCATCTTATTTGGCAAACATTGGTCCAGTCTCTCAGGCATGGTGAACCACGTCAAAGATCGAGGGACCACCCCGCCGCTCGTCCATCACGAGGCAAACAGTGAAAGGGATGTTTGTCACCTTGCAGGGCTGATTGGATTGAGAATATCCATTTATAGTCAATGATTGTACAGTGTTCCCATTAACTACAGTGACCTTCCCACGGGTTTCCTATTTTGTCCATGGATGAACAGGGGAAGGTCACAAATCCTCCTCTATAAATATGATGATATTGGATAGAGGAGGGGATCCATTATTTATATCACTAAAAATAGTACACTCTTGAGACATAGTAAGAAATATATTTCGGACTGAGGAGATTTACCCAGTCTAGGTCATACTTTGTGTTCTTGTGTGTGTTTTACATTACGGGACGAGAGTGTCCAGGTCAGATTCGGTCAACCCACCCAGCTATATTTACACCATCACATGGAATTTGAGCCAAATTTGGATTTGGAATCCAAATCCATATTCCCAAACATACCATAAAAGAATTTACCTATATTGTACAAAAACATAGTGACTTTCTGATGTGGTACTATATTATTTTCCAATGTAGTATGTAGTACTCTCTCCGTTCCACAAAATTCTTCTTCTTTCGTTTTTTTTTGTTTTCCACAAAACACTTCCACTTTCTATTAAAAACCACCTTTACCCCTACTTTTTCATACCCTACCTATCACATCATACTTTTTCACTAATAACCAAACTATCACATCTTACTTTTTTCCATCACATCAGGGGCAAAATTGGAAAGTCAATCAAAATTACACTTTCCTTATTTTTCCCCAAAGTCAAAACCGGAAGGGTTTTGTGGAACGGAGGGAATACTATACAATGTTCATTGAACATTATTCAAATAAATCTCCAACACCATTATTGAACATTATTCAAAGTAAATATCTACAATCACTGGACATTATTGTTCCTGCCACTGAACATTATTCAAGTGCTATTTAGAAAACAAAAAAGTTGTAGGTACTAATTGGAAAAAAACATATGTTTTAGTACAATTTGGTGCAAATTTTATACTTCAACATGTTTCATTATGTGCATACAAAGCTTCTTTTTTTATTGCACGTGAACATGAAATTCGAAAATGTGACTACTGATTTACAAAACTTTGATATCATAGACTTCAACTAACTAAATCAATAAAAAGCTAAAGTTTTTGCGGTGGACCATGCCACATTATACGACTACTGTTAGATACAAAGTAATATACAAATTATATCGAAGTCTTGTTATCAAGAAATCACGAGTTCAAAATTCACTAACATTAAGTAATAAAAAATTCAAGTTTCACATGCATGTCTTAAATCAACCATAAATGCACTTTTCAAGGCCTACAAACTTGCGATTTTGATTGAATTAGTTGGTTTCTTAACAACTACAAAAGAGTACTCGAAAGTATTTTATTCAAACATTCCACCTAGATCCTACATTTATTGGGTTGTTGTTGTTGTTTTTCTTTTATTGATCAAAAGTTTGTTAAGAAAAAATAAACTGAACAATTAAAAAAGGATGGAGAGAGAGTAAATGATTTGACCTCAATTTTCTCAGTTGTTGCAATGGAATCCCAGTCCTTTGCAAAGATGCCAATTTTCCAATCAAGGGATACCATACTGTTTACACTTGTACGGTAACTCCGAAAGCATATAACATAAAGTCCAGCAGCCTCCGCCGTCGTTGTGAAGCTAAACTGTCCCGCCGTCACGTTATTATTCGCGTGATCCTTTTCGTAGAGTATGTTCCCTAATGGTGATTTTACCTGCAATTTGTTAAAATATATCAACTCAACTAAAATTATTAATCTATAATTTTATTAGATTTATCTTGTAAAATATTTTTTACTTATATAATACGCAATATTATTTAATTACTCTCTTCATCCTAATATGATTTATAGGTTTACTATTATAAGTTTTGATGTAGCTTTTAAGTATGTAAACTTTTTTTTATTTCAATACCAATTTATAAATAAATTAATGTGTCCTAAATTTTCGGATTATGATTTGTGTTGGCAAAAAAGTTAAAGCGGGAGACTTCTTTTTGAAATAAATTATGGTCTTGGTCAAAGTCTCATTTAAAACACGGATGAGAAAGTCAGCCCATGTAAAATTACTTCTAAAATTAAAATTTGTTAAATTTACTATATACTACTCTTTCTAAATTTAAACTGTCTGTTTCGATTTACGATATTTGATTGAAATTATTTTCAAATTATTTTATATGAAAAACAATGTAAAATTAAAAAGTAAAAAATACATATTTAAAAACTATATTAAAAGATCTATAAAATTAGTGGTGATATGACTATAGTATTTTATCAAATAACTAACGAAAATAGAGAAAGAAAATAAATTAAGTTTAATCTTGTGAATAATAAACATGTATTTTAATCTGGGACGAAGAGAGTACTATATGATACGCTTGTTCCAAAAAATTACACGGAGTAGCTATTTCCCAATGTAGTCCAGAGTACTTAATTCCCTAAATTATTTTAATTGCTAATTATTTAATATTAGTCTAAAGATACAAAAAATTATGAAAATTATTTAGTGCAAATTTCACTTAAAATTTCCCACCATTAAACTGAAGGAAATTCCACTTTTTTTAACAAAAGAGTGGTCAATTTTCACTATATTTTATCAGAATATAGATTGAAAAATTAGAGAAAAAATGATTTAATAAAATCTTGAGCAAAGTTGATTAATTAGTTGATGGTTTAATCTTGTTTGCTATGATTTGATTCAAATAAATGACAGAATTAATATTCATAGTATCAAAAATATCTATTTTTGAATAATTTTCATTGGTAATATGAGTAAATAATATAAATATGTCTTTGATAATTTTTTTGAGTATTTCAATCTACACAAAATTAAAAAATATGAATTGAAAATAATTTTAACCACTTACTCCGTACATAGTAGGAGTATCATATATAGAACCGTGACTTTTATTTTAGAACCATAATATTGTTATCCCAATAAGATTTGATTTTCATTTAGAGCACTTCTTGAACTGGTGAAAATATTCATTCAAACTATCATAAACCACCTCAAAATGTGAAAATTAAATCTAGATGGACAAATTATATTTCAATCTCAAAATGACAACATTCAACTTTGATGGCCTTTTATATTTGTACACACAAAAGATATATTCATTGATCACGGTATTTTTTATTTCTATTACTCCGTACAAATCTACACTTAAAATAAATTAAAAAAAGACAAACCTGGACCGTCATGGCGGGGGAGCCGTCGGAACCGGAGAAAGAGAAGTACTCTCCCAAAACGAGCACGCCGCTGTAGATTTGCTCGGAGAGGCACTTTGTCTCGCCCGCCGGCAAATTAAACCACATCGCCGCCCCCTTCTCCGGCCGCACGAGGATCACCAGCGCCACCAGATGCACCGCCGCCGTCGCCCATTTCAGCTTCATCTTTGGCCGTTTCGTTTCCACTCTCCCGACTTTTTGCTTTATTTATTTTTTCCCCTTTTTTTCTTCCGGTCAAAATCAATTGATAGGAATCCCGCGAACATAATAAATTCCTCTGTTTTCTGTTTTATACTCCGCATTAATGCTAAATGACTCTAGGACTATTTCTAAAAAATATTGACCAATTTTTTTTTCAAATTTCATAAAAAATTTCTTATTTTAATTTCTACATTACTAAAAAGAAATATTTACACTAAATAGCACAAAAGGTGGGATTTAAATTTCTTATTTTAATTTCTACATTAAACTCTTTTTAATTTCTTTTAATCAACTTTTTTGCAAATTTACATTATTTTCATTTTCTATATTTAGTGCCCGTTTGGAAATAGTGTCAGAATTTTAGTTTTAATTTTTTAAAAGTCAACCACCCTCTTAAAAAAGTTAAAATGTTAATATTAATTTAAATATTATTTCCAAGCAAAACTTTATTCTACCAAAACAATTCTCCATATATAGTCTAATTAGACCCTAAATTAAATATTCGCATTGAATTTTATTCAACCATAAATTAATTTACTTATATTAGCAATCGAGTTGAAAACGACTTTTATGGTATTTTTGCAACACATTTGAGATTAACTGATTTTGGAAATCGAGTAAATCGACTACTATTAATGAAATTTATTGGAAAATTTTATATTACCAATGAAAAATCTTTTTATGATTTTGTTAGATTTACTTCTACTTTGAGAAACCTTTCTAAATAGGATAAAATTGTACGAGAGTATACAAAAATTAAATCCAGAATTTGGTATTTTAAAATCTAAATAACAATTTACTGTCACAATCTGCATTACCAGTTGTCATCGGAATATCAGGGTGGTTCTTTGAAGCTTCGACGTATCTCGCCGAAAACCTACAACTGGTTGTCAATGTTGACCACTGTTGACAGGTAGTCCTCCACTACATTGCAACCATGTTCCACCATTACACTACCATGTTGTCCATGCGCTACATTGTCATCACACCGCTATATTGTTACCATACTGCCATTATACTACTTTTTAGAAAAGTGTGTTGTTAAATCTACTCGTATTATGGTTAAATCCACTTCAATTCATTTGTGTTAACTAGATAATTTTGACCTTACAAGTTGGTTAACATCTAATATCGTTCTATATGTTTTAACGGCAAAGTTGTATATTCCAAACTAGGTTACTTTTATTTTTGTACTTTTATACTCTTTCCATCCCTGAAAATATTTCTCATTTCTTTTTTACCCGTCCCAAAAAAAAGACTATCATTTCTATCAAAAAAATGAATTTTACCTTTACTAATTCTTAACACATCTATTACATCACATCTATTCACTATTAATCTAACCATCAAATCCTACACTCACCTTAAATTCTTTAAAAATCAAAACCTCTCATTTTTCAGGGACTGAGGGAGTATCATTTTAATTTACTCATGTATCTCTTTTTTTATTATTATATGGGAGATATAATATATAGAAAGATAAATGCGATGAATTTTTATCGATCAAAATTATTATAACCTACTATAGTAAATGCATATTTGAGTACGTTCTTGTATTAATATAACACTCAATATTAGGTCATACAATGTGGCCCATGAACTTCTCCACGGTTACCTCAGCAAAGACGACCACACAAGGTGTGTGTGTGGGGAAAGCTTCATGATTGTCATGGCAAGAGAGGAAGAAGATCAAGCACAAAAATTGTCATGATTGTCATGGCCTATGATTGGCTTGGCTAGCTTAGCACTTTAAACCTGTTTTGAAGAAAAAGAAATGTACGAATAGATCATATATTTTTTACATTATTAGGCAAGTAATTAAAGAAAGTAAGACAACTATTTAGACGGGCGAAAAGAAAAATAAGACGATCAATTCCAAACAGAGAGAGTGTATTAAGAGTGTCATCATTATTCCAAGAAAAAAATATACTCCATATATTTATATGGAACATACAGTCTTTCAACTATAAAGAGAAATTTTTAGTATAAAGTGTTTGATGTAAGATTTTAATATTTTAGTTTTATGAAGAAATTGTGTATCTTTTTTTTCAAATTAATTCAATTGAAGAGGAATTTAATCAAATCTCATTACCGGTAAAGAAAATGATTATTTTGAGACTTAAACCTTTTTTGGATCAAGGAAGAACACAATTGGACTTCTAAATTGTCCACAAGAACTAAACACGAGTGTTAAATATCTTCTGTTAGCATTATCAGCGGCCCATTACGCCAAATAATCAATACGAAACGTGCTTCGCTAATATATCGGGGGCCCATTAACGTCTTTTAAGCTGTACGGAATGCGGACGAATCGCTATTTTAAAACAACACAGTGCGATTCGAGCAAGGAAACCTGCAGACGAAGGAAGGAAGGATAAGAAGAAGAAGAGACTCTCTCGCGCGCTTTCCGTTCTCGCTCAATCGGCCTCTCACCAGATATATCTGACGTAATTCTTCAATTTTATCCCTGCAAATTCAAGCATATCTTCCTTTTTTATTTCAATCTAATCGTATCATCATCCATCATCTGCTTAATGTTTCGGATACCTAAATGCTTGAATTCGCTTCATAATTGAGCTTTCATTAACTGGATCGTTGAAGAGCGGGATTGCTATTTGCACATTTTGAGTATTTACTTCTGTTTTTTCTCGTAGTAGAGGATGAATTGAAGGAATACAACATTTATGTTCACTTTGGAATTCCTTTTCTGTAAGAAGAACTAAAGAGGTGAAATTATAAACCTGTTATTATCATCATAGGTTTCCACTTGATATAGAGAAAGGATTAGTTAACATTATAAATTCATGCAAAGATATCATCATAGCATGATGAGTAGAAATAGGACAGATCATGAACTTGGCAGAGCTTAGCATCTTAATGAGTTAATCCATACTTTTTTCTTTCAGGTGAGATGTCGGGAACAAGTTCAACTGACGATAAGAAGTCTACCAAATCCAGTTCCGCTGTGACTCAATCTGGACCAGGAAATGCCGCCCCTCTAGACGGACCTGGATTGGAAAATCCTTTTGATTTCTCAGCATTGTCTGGCCTCCTTAATGTATGAGTTGCCTTTTATTGGATATTTGATAAGTTGAAGTACTACGTTTAATTTTGGTCCCTTCACATGATGGAAAATCTATGTTTTTTTTTCGCATTATACTTGAGGTCTGAGGGACCATTGAGTGCAAAGGGAGAAGGAGATTCGAATAAATGCAATTTTGGAGCTCATAGACTTGATTTTCAATATAATTATTTTCTCTAGTACTCATACTATCTAAATTTGTACCGAGTAATAGCCATGAATCTCGTGTAAATGCTGTCCTTCGATCTCTGTCCTTAGTGGATAACATGTCTGAATTTTTATCAGTTCCTTATATGGTTAATGATAATGTAGGATCCAAGCATTAAAGATCTAGCTGAACAGATTGCAAGAGATCCTTCATTCAATGACATGGCAGAAAACCTTCAAAAGACCTTTCAGGGTGCAGCTTCTGAAGGCGGGATTCCACACTTTGATCCCCAGCAGTATTATGCAACAATGGAGCAAGTTATGCAAAATCCAGAGTTTATGACAATGACTGAGCGACTTGGAAATGCATTGGTGCAGGTTTAATATAATCACATCATATAGGTCTCTAATTATTTTCATCATTGAATGTTCCTTTACCTGAGCGGCTTAAATTATTTTCCTTATATTTGTCAGGATCCAAGAATGTCCAATATGCTTGAAAGATTTTCAAATCCTGCTCAGGGTGTCCAATTTGAAGAACAAATTGCACACGCCAAAGAAGATCCATCTTTGAAGACGATCCTGGAAGAGATAGAACGCGGGGGTCCGGCTGCAATGATGAGGTTATTAATGACCATATCTATTAAAATTTAGCACATATATATTCTTTTTTATTCAAGATGTTCAAGGAAAATGGTGATCATGGCGAGATATGTAATTTTGTGGGTTGTGTTATGGAGTACGAAGGAGTGCATTCATATTCCATAATTCACAATTATACTTGTTGATTTTACAATATCAATCTTTAATGGGAAATGCCGATAGCAATTATATCATATCAATATTGTCTCACAAAATTTTTCAATTCCAGTGAAAATTACGTATGATGATAGCGGTACTGCCCTTAATCTTAGAAAGGATGGGCATTTCCCACAAAACTTGGCCCCTATATCTTTTGTTTCCATGGATTTACAACGATAGCTAGTTTTTGACATTTAAGTAACACTGCAAATTGCATGCCACCAATCCCAGCTAGTTTTTGACATTTAAGTAACACTACAAATTGTGCTTACTAATCTAGGTATTGGAATGATAAGGATGTTCTAAAGAAATTGGGTGAAGCAATGGGCTTTGCTGATGCTGAGGAAACAAGTATTTCAGGCAAAAATGTCCCAGACAAAACTGAAGAAGTGAATGAGGAAGATGAATTGACCGTTCATAACTACGCCAGTGTTGGGGATGTGGAGGTACTTTTTCAAATGAATTCTGAATGTTGCTCAAGTAATTACAAAAAGAACAAATCTTATTTTGTATAAATAAATTGTTGCATATTACTCATTTGCATTTGTAGATATGGTTTCCATTCTAATAAAGATTTTACTTGGCTTTTGAGTGAACTTTTAGGGTTTGAAGAAAGCACTCGCTGCTGGTGGTGACAGAGATGAAGCAGATTCAGAGGGAAGGTCAGCACTGCATTTTGCCTGTGGATACGGGGAGGTTAGTCATTGCTTTGTTTGGTGATGTTTGGCTTTTTACTCATCATTTTCTGAATGCTAGAAGTCACACTCTAGCTGTAAAAGCAATAGCCCCACCCACCCACCCACAAAAATAAACTTAAGTAGTTTTCAAGAATGTATATGCTATGTCTATATGCAGGCTAGTTCTATCACAGATAGAAACATAAGTGAGCGTAGGGCATATGTTATCACACGCTAGTCTGGTTTTGTTCAATGCACTCCTAATTATTAACAATTTTGGAAGGGGGAATTCATGTTCTTCAATCCAGACTTCTAAGAGTATGTATGAAGAAATAACATGATCACCTACCTATTAGGTCCAAAATTGGTAGTGTAAAGTTGTAAACCGGTTAGTCCTAATATACGTGCTCTCCACAGGAGGAGTGTGTTCGGATTCTTCTAGAGGCAGGGGCGAAAGTGGATGCGTTGGACAAGAATAAGAATACGGCTCTACATTACGCTGCGGGATATGGAAGGAAGGAGTGTGTTGCGCTTCTGCTGGAGTACGGCGCCGCTGTGTGAGTCCATTTTTTTTCAATTCCCCGTTTGGTTGATTGGAATTATGGAAACATTTTTTTACATTAATTTTGGTGTCCTTTCGTTGGCAGCACTCTTCGAAACATGGACGGGAAGACACCCATGGATGTCGCCATACTGAATGACCAAATAGACGTCCTAATGCTTCTGGAGAAGGATGCTTTTCTGTAAACGAACACAACACCAATATTGGCCCTTTCTTGTGCACTTCTGTTGTGACTGGTGAGAGTATCACAGATATGTTAATGTCAATATTTCATAGAAAAACAAAGTGTTAAACTCAACCATTAAAGCTCTGATCCATCATGGACCGTTCAAGGAATTTGGAAGGAAAAGAAAAAAAATGATTTTCTCATTTTTGGTTCCCCTCCTCTTAGTTCATTTTGGTCTTCTCAATTGTTTTTCTTTCCACATTTTCTTTCTTTTCGTCTCTAACCAAACAAGAAAAACTTGTTTTCTGCTTCATTTTTTTTTTCTTTTTCCTCTCAAATTCTTTGAATCAAACATAGTGCAAAACTAATTCTCCGTGTTTCATTTTTTTTCGTCACATGAGTTTTTATGTATGCCTGTAGATAAGTAAGAAAGACAATTATGAACCAATCATAAACTATTAAAAAAGACTTCTTCAATGGTAAGGAACACAAATGATATGGCATCCAAAATCACTATTATTCATCTCCCATTCTCACCATATTCTACATGTATACAATAATCTGCCATCTCCCATTAGTGAACTTTATTAGACTACATGAAACCAATTTATTGTCTTGTCATTTACGTTATTACTTGTTTTGTTTTCCGACAACATAGACATGTTGCTGCTACCCAAAGGTAAGATTTGTCAATGATCTAAAACCTTTGGAACTTCCACAGGATACCTATGGATCCTATCAGACCATGCATTATTCGGGTTCGGGTCAAGCTCCGAAACACACATCCAAACAGCACTGTTACACTTAAACCCGCTCCCAAACGCCATCTGCCACACCCGATCGCCCTTCTTAATCCTCCCTTTAGCTTCAAGGTAGCAAAGCTCGTACCAAACCGAGGAAGACGAAGTGTTTCCGAACCTGTAAAGTGTCATTCTAGAGGCCTCCACGTCTTCTTTGCTCAGCTTGAGGCTTTCCTCAACTGCATCAATCACAGCTCTTCCCCCCGCGTGGATGCAGAAATGCTCGAAAGCCTTCTTGAAATTCGGCACGAACGCGTCCCCCTTCTTCAAGATTCTCCTTTTGGTCGTCGCGTACGCATAGAGGACGAGTTCGGATAACGGTAGAGCCCGCGGGCCGAGCTTTGATATGTTCGTTTTCAGTGCCTTTCCTGCAACTTGGAGAAGCTTTCTGGAGAGAAAAACGCCCTGAAACCCCAAATCATCGTTTGTCTGGTACACGGAGCGATAGGAATCATCGTCCGCGCCCATGTGGGTCCGCACGAGGTGACAGAGTTTGTATTTCGCCGTCTTGCGGTCGCGCCTCCGGTTGGACAACAAGACGGCGACGCCTCCCATTCTGAAGAGGGTGTTGGTGAGGATCATGGACTTGTCGTTCCCTAAGTAGCCGTTGGGCGTGATCGCCTCCATGCTCACCACCAACGCCACTGAGTTCTTGTTCACTTTGAGCACGTCTCGAGCTGCGCTCATCGCCACCATCGCCGCGCTGCACCCCATTCCGCTCAGGCTGAAACTCTTCACGTTGCTTCTGAACTTGAACCTGTTAAGTAACTTTTATTTGGATAAGTTTGTTTAAAATCTAGATTAATTTTTTGAACTTTAAAATTAAACACTATCACTGTATATTTTTTTCAAAACGTTAAAAATAAGTAAAATTTGCACTAAATAGAACTAAAACATAGGTAGTTTCCTAATATAGATCTTAAACCTTTTTATTTTCTAAATAGTACTTAATAATGTATAGTGAGAAGAATAATGTCAACTGATGATGGATATTTACTTGAATAATGACTAATGGATAATGATTAATGGTCATACATTGTGAAACAAAAACATATGATCATATATTGAGAAAGTTATTATGTTTCAGTCCTATATAAGTAAATTCCTCCTTATATTCCCTCTCCCTCCCATTTATTTATTTGACTTTTTACAATACATTTTTGAGAAATAATAAATTAATTAACCTGTTGATGATCATGGAAGTAATGGAAGGGGTGGGGCAGAAGAGGCTGCAGTTAGAGACGAGGACGTCCACGCTCTCCGGCCGGACGCCGCACTTCCCCAGCACCTCCTCCACCACCGCGAAGAGCACCGCCTCCGCCTCCTCCCTCGACGGCCTCAGGGAGAAGTCCGGCGGGAGCTGGTGCATGACTGGCGGCGCGCACGCCTCGCCGCCGATCCCCGACCGCGCTGCGGACTTGGCGTAGAAGTCGAACGACTGCTGGTCCTTCCTGGACACGCAGGAGTGGCCGTGCTCGATGAACTGCGCCGTCGAGATCCGCAGGTGGTCCGGCGGCCTGTAGCAGCAGAAGTCGATGAGGTAGAGAGGGGAGTTGTTTGGGCCGCCGGAGAAGAGGTAGTTGTAAATATAAATGAAGAGTAATAGAAGAGGAGGAAGAAGAAAAAGGATTAGGGTGATTGTGGGTGCATGGAATTGGGTGAAAGAATTGTTGCTGAGCAAATCTGAATTATTGGTCATCATTTGGGTGTGGGATGGTTCTCTTTTGAGGTCTTTTGGATGCACGCATGGCTCTTTATAAATACTCCCTCCATATCCATCTTTTTTTATTTGTCTCTCACAAATCTTTCTATTAAATATCATAATTATACTGACTTATTTTATTTATTATATATCACCACTCGTTTAATATACTCTGTCCATTTTATTATGTATACTTTGACAAATTTTCATTTTTTTAAACTGTCATTAAGACCCGAAAAAAGTCAAATTGAAAACATCTTAGACGGGCAGAGCCAGTATTTTTTTATTACGGCCTTCCTCTTAGCCAGTATGTAACTCTTTAGTCCCTTGCTCTCTCCCTTCCTCTTAGTATTATTTTATTAGGGAGTAATATTTTATGATCAAATGTTAAACATAATATACACATAAAATGATACTCGGTATATTCTGGGTACTACTATATACTTTTTCTGTTCCATAAAAAATTTTCATTTATACTCCGTACTTCTTATTCCTCGTAAAGCAACATTTCCATTTAGCCTAAATGAACATAAATGCTTTTTTATCTCAATTTGTTTTGCGTTATACCCATTTGACATATTCCAAGCCCCACTTATTTCAGTTATTGTTATTTCACATTGGTTAAAAAAGTTCTACAAGTTATCTTCTCAAAATTCAATACATAAAATGCTTTGAGAGACTGAGAAAATATGTAATGCCAATAGATTTTTTTAAGCATAGTTTTAAAATTTTGTACAATTTGTAATGGAATTTTACTACACAAGAATCAAATGTACATAATTTAGTGCGACTTTTTTATTTGGTTGTCCTATTTGCACATTTTATGTGGCATTCTTCATTCACACACAATTTGTGGTTGTAAGTTGAAAACTTATATTTGAGGCGATCACACAATTGAAAGTTCAACTGATTTCTTGCAATAAAGTACCGCAAAAATTCTTCTATCATCTAAAAATGTTCAAACTATTCTTCTTTGGACTTAAAATTATATCAATTTAGTCCCTTTACTATTTATATTTGTTCAATCAGGTCTTTTTATTCACCTGTCTCTTATACATTGTCCTAAATTTTTAACGATATCAAACAATACATAGAAATATTGCTTAACACAATAATGCATGCTTCTAACCTAATTTTAGTCATTATATAATAAATTATTTTTTCCCTAATTTTTTTCATCAAAGAAAATAAATAAATAAATGTATATTGTTCTTAGTTATATATAAATGAAAATAAGTACTCCGTATGAATTAACATGTCAATACAACAGTTTCATGTCATTTATAGTAAAGTTTGGCGTCATCATTAAAATTTTGGAGTAATATATACTACCTCCGTTTCTCAAAACGGTTCCTCTTTTGATTTTGGAGAAAAATAAGGAAGTGTTAAATTGTAGTTGACTTTCCAATTTTGCCCTTGATGTGATTGCTAAAAGTAAGATGTCATAGCTTTGTTAGTGAAAAAGTATGATGTGATAGGTAGGTATGAAAAAGTAGCTGTAGAAGTGGATTTTTAATAGAAAAGGAAAATGTTTTAAGAAAAATAAAAAAAAATGAAAGAGGAAGAGTTTTAAGAAACGGAGAGAGTAAGAGACAAGGGAATGGTAGAACTTGATTGAACAAAAATAAATAGTACAAAAGTTAAATTATCTTGGTTTTGAGTATAGAGTCTAATTTAAACATTTTAAGATAATATAAAGACCTCTACGGTATTTTGTCCAATTTCTTGCCGATTTATTTGTGTGGGTTTTCAGTTTTAGAATGAATCATTGCAATTGTGTGGCAAAACAAGTTCAACTACTGTAAAAATAAAAATAAAAATGAGCAGAAAAGAATTGGGGTGAGAGAGGAAAATCTTTAAACTATTTGTTAGAATATAAATAAGTGTTCCTGGGCCACAACCACAAGCTTAAGCTTTTGGTTGAGTTGGTTCCTTGACATGGTATCGGAGCCTTGATGACCAAGAGGTCACGAGTTCGAAACTCACTGTCACCCAGTTTAAAAAAAATTAAAGTTTCACGTGCAAGGCTCGAAAAAGATTACGCCTGCACGTGAGGGGGCGTGTTAGAATATAAATAAGTGTTCCTGGGCCACAACCACAAACTTGACCTTTTGGTTGAGTTGGTTCCTTGACACTATTCTTTGGACTTAAAATTACATCAATTTAGTCCTTTTACTATTTATTTTCGTTCAATCAAGTCTTTTTATTCACATGTCTCTTATATATTGTCCTAAATTTGTAACCATGTCAAATAATACATAGAAATATTGCTTAACACAATAATGCATACTTTTAATCTAATTTTAGTCATTATATAATAAATTATTTTTTCCCTAATTTTTTCCATAAAAGAAAATAAATAAATAAATGTATATTGCTCTTAGTTAAATATAAATAAAAATAAGTATGAATTAACATGTCAATACAACAATTTCTTGTTATTTATATTAAAGTTTGACGTAATCATTAAAATTTTGGAGTAATATTTAAGAGACAAGTTAATGGAAGAGCCGGATTGAACAAAAATAAATGGTACGGAGTACAAAAATTAAATTGATTCGATTTTGAATATAGAATCTAATTTAAACATTTTTAGATAATATAAAGAGTTGTACGCTATTTTTATCCGATTTCCTACGGATTTATTTGTGTGGGTTTTCAGTTTTAGAATGAATCATTGCAATCGTGTGGCAAAACAAGTACAACTACCGTAAAAATAAAAATAAAAATGAGCAGAAAAGAATTGGGGTGAGAGAGGCTCGAACTCTCGACCTCAGGATCACTCAGAAGCTATGAGACCTACGCGCTAGCCAACTGCGCCACCACCCCTTCATGTGTTTCACTCAACGTTTTAAACATCTAGTACAGTAGTATATACAGTTTACATATCCTTGGATAAAAATAGTGGAGTATTTGATGCTATTTTCAATTTATTTAAATACTAATGTAAAAATTTAAAAATAATTATATATTTAAAAATTTTAGAAAAATATTCAAAAAAATAATTTATTATGAAGAATTTTTTTATTAAAAGATCAATAAAAATATTAATCAGTGAGATTTTGTGTTTTAATGTTATTGGTTATAATTTTTATTGTTATTGATTATATTACAATATATTTATTTTAATTTCTCAATCTAATGACACAAATGAGTCAATGTTTTAGTCTCAGTCTCTCGTAAAAATTAGACCTAATAAGTGAGCTTCTCCATGCATTTTTAAATTTCAATACAATTACTATCTTTGCTTTGTTCTCTTGTCTTTGCCAAGTTTTTTTTCTCTTATCCATGTTTATATGAATATGATATCTCATTAACCAAAATAAAGTTATATACCTATGTGATTAAAGTTATATAATCATTTTTTGAGAAGGTAATAAACTAAAATAAATAGTGATGAATAGTATAAAAATAATCCTACACACACACACACACTGCACATGTATGTATTGAAATAAAATTTAAAAATGGTGAATATTTTTTTAAAACAATTAAAGTGTAAATTTTATAATTGGTCATTTGTGATAAAGGTTTTTTTAAATTATAATTAAAGAGTAAAAAAATTGATGTTATTTTTAATTATGTACTTTGCATTTTTTTAAACTTCTACTCCAATTTTAAATAAATTGAATTAAAAAATAATTTCACTTAAATATCGTAAATCAAAAAGGGGAATTTAATTAAAGACTTTTGAAATAATCTCTAAAGCTCCACAAAATATCAAGTAATTTGACTATTTTATTTTAATAAATTGACAATTATTAAAATATGTGAAATTAAAGAAGGAAACACTATATTTTTTTGAAGGCAACACAGAAGGAAACACTATATATATATATATATATATATATATATATATATATATATATATATATATATATACTACTAGCTATAGAAAAAATGGTTTAGTGGGCTTAATTATTTGACTACTTCATTCTCACTAAAAATGAATGCAATGGTCTTGATTTCCCAAATAAACACAAATAAAGCACTGCATAAACACGCCTCTTAATTAATACTTCATCCGTCCCCCATAGATCTTCCCAAAAGTCCTTTTTCTTGTCCACAATAGATCTTCTCATTTCATTTTTTAACAATTAAAATACCACAACTACCCCCACTTACTTTATTTATTACACCTCACCCACCTCATTTAATAAACTCCACCCATTTTCATTAAGGGTATTATTGTAAACTTTCACCTTTTTTCAATTATCCTTAAAAACCACCAAAAGTCAAAATGAGAACATCTTAGATGGACGGAGGGAGTAAAAGGCTTAAAACAAAGGCACATGCACAACCACTAAAAAAGTACGTCCCTTCGTTTCATTTGGGATTATATATATATATATATATATAAACTCCACTTCGTAATGCATGTATTAATAAATAAATAATACAGATGATTTTTAATTTTTGGGTTTATAATAACAACATTGAAATACTGGAAGAGGCAGGAGCCACCCTTCTTCACGCACGATTCGCCGCAAACATCTTCCCTTTTACACGGCGCTTCTCCGCTCGGGAAAAGTGGATAAAGCAGCACTTTTCGTCCAATACTAACCCCTGAATGAATTGAACAACCTTTCTCATCAACCAATAATAATAATAATAATAATAATAATAATAATAACGTTTTGAGAATATATAATTAGATGAATTAAGGTAAAGTATTAGTACTACATAATACCATCAGCTGCGAAGTTATGCATCACAAAAATAAGGCATAGAGAAAGCATAAGAGTGCGTCTGCCACCAAGTAAGAAATAACCCATCTTATTATAAATCACTTTAATTTGTTGAATGTTGAATGGGTTATTGGGGCAGTGCCTATCTATCTATATATACAGAGATAGATGCATGGGAAAGCATGCATGCATGCTTTTTGTACGTACGTGGACTAAAGGCTAGCTTACAATTAAGTGCTCGTACTATTCATTAATATTGTTGTTGCTGCCAGCTAGCTAGCTGGCTATTAATAACCCACATGCATGCTCCAATTTGTTCAAGTGTGGCTACAATTTCAACTTTTTGACAAAGGTATATGTAACTAAACAACCCTCGTGTTTGGTATTAGCAAATTTAATGTCAATCCCCAACATAACATATCATAAAAATGCTGATGGAAAAGGCTGTTTAGTTTCCCTCACATAAAAGCGCTTTGAAAAAAGGTTTAAGTTTTAATGCTTCTAAACCACTTGAATCGTCCAATGCATGCTGCATGGGCAGGAATGATGTTAAAAGGTACTAGCCTTGTCTCAAAATAAATGTTCCTCTCTTTATTTGGATATTTCAAAAAAATAAAAATAAATACCGTCAAATAAATATCTCTAAAGGTTTTTTTGAGGGGTAATCTTATACGGAGTACCATTTTTTGGTGTAAGATTGTTAGATCAATTTAATTCGAGAACCTACGGTTCGATCGTAAAATTGAGTGTTACTACTATACCCCTTCAATTCTAACCCCCACAAGAAAACTCCCTAGTTGCTCCGTCCTCAACACACCCCCGGCCCGCCAATTTCATTGCACTAAATTTTGTTGACTTTCATGTCAAATTTTAGACCCAAATTGGCAGAGTTTCAGGCGTGCATTGGGAACGGGGCAGACTAGAGGGGGTTTACCTGAGGATTAGGAGTAGGAAGAACCAATTCTACGGTTTGAGCATCGTAGGTGCTCCAATTGAATTGGTGTATGTAACAACAATTGAGTTGGTGCAAGATGATAACTTCTCTTTTTTATATTTGCAGTTCTAATTGATTGGATGTCATTCCATAATATTTAGTTTTTGTCTAACAATACTGAGATAGAAGAATATATAGACAAAGGAGTAAACGTGGATTTATGTTTTATGAAAAATCATGTTTTAAAAAAACTCTTATTTATTGATTTATTTTATGTTTTATGAAAAATCATGTTATAAAGACAATAATTCATTCTATATTCTATAGTGTCTTGTGGCTCTGTGCCATATTCTTCATAGATTTTGATGCATTTACCGTTATCAATTCTACGGCGTTATTTAATTTGTGCCTTTGTACTGCCTTCATACCCTTCCTAAATGTTAATTTTTTTAAAAAATAAATTTTATGCTCTTAAATCTTAATCCTAAGTGTTTATGTTAAACTTGCCGTTCTATTAGATCGAGCCCTTTTTAATTTTTCCTTTTAAACAATAATGGACTGATCAAATCAGCAAACAAAGTTATTGGTTTGGATCTTTAATTCCCCTTCCTCAAAAAGTGCCAAATTTTAGAAAATGCACGTATTATAAATTTTAAGAGTTTTTTTTTAATGAAAAAACAAAAAATAGTAGATTATTATTCAAATTTATCATTAAAAAATAGACTAAAAAAGGAAATGGGAAGAATATTTTCGGACGTTAGGAGTATTTTAGAATAAAAATTTTGATAGATTTATCATGTTGAAAACTTTTAAAATTTTAATTTAATGTATTACGGAGTAATATACAAATCAAATTAAAAGTAATTGATGTTTAAAGTTTTTCGAATTTGACTAAAAAAACAAACTGAATAAATACACTAAAATGAAAGTAGTATATTATCGCAATATTTGTCTTGTTACTGGCATTATGAAATGATTACAATGCATTATATGTGCAACAGAATAAAAGAATATGCAACGAACACATTTTAATTATCATATGATTACATGTGCAACCGAATAAAAGAATATTTTTGTTAATTATCATATGATTACATTTCATAATAGTTAATACTGAATAATATAAGAGTAACATAATTAAGTGATGATATGGAAAATGAAGGCAGCCAAAAATGAAGAACAATATGCCTTCTATTGTTGGCAAAGATGCTTCACTTGAGGCAATGGGGTTTTCTTCCCTTGCTTGACCTGACAATTCAAAAGATAAAAAAAAAGTAATTAAAAACCTAGTAAGAATTAATTTAACTTCTCAACTAAAATTTAAAGGTGAAAAGAAATTGAAATTTGGAGAAATGTAAACTTACCGCTTGACCGTTTCCATCCTAGATAACATGGAAATTCGCCCCTCCCTTTGTCTTTAGGTTCAAGGAAGGAGGAACCCAATATGAGGTATCCCTAGTTCTGCAAATAAAACAAGTACAAAATATGTTACAAAATAGATAATAATGTAAATAAACAGAGCAAATAATAATTTCAACTCAAAGAATTTCAACTCACTCGTAGCAATATTCCAAAGGTGACAGAGGATCTAGTCTGCGTCTGTCTTTCACCAAAGAATCAAACTGCAAGATTAATTAATGATTGCAGTAATTGCACGCACATTAGTCTTCATTTTTTTTTGTTTAATAAATAAAAATGATAAGTATTACTAAAATCTTTGTGCATGAAGTTTCCCGGCCACTTACATGTTTTGCAATTAAGCTGTATATTTCATCATTCAAGCGAGTGACAGTGGAGCCTGCAGAATCGAATAGTGCTGCAAATTCCACATTTCCTATGGATATTTGCTCTATCCGTATGCTGTATAACACACTGCATGTATGTGTCCATTAAATTAATTAGCAAAAAACAATGTCACTAATAAAAATGTTTTCCATAATTTTATTGATGAATTGACTATTAAAAAAACACTAGCTAGCTTAATTACCTCTCGTGGTGTAGAGTGTCGAGTGGCGTTGTCATCTGGTCAGGGTCACCCTTGTCTCCAAATGCAATCCTGCCACTCCCTTTGCTTGTGAAGCACAATGAAAATGAATTTCGAACAAATCCTTTGGATGATAAAAGATTTGTTACATCCAATTTTTCATTTCCTAGGCCAAGTAAGCCATTGATCGCACCCCGGCCCAAAAAATGTCCAGTTTCAACTTCTCCGCACCTGAAAAATTGTACAGTAGAAAATAACAAAATTTATATATATGATGCAGCACTTGCAAATTGAAAAAAAAAAAACAACCAGACATGAATATTCGTGGTAATGAATTGAATGCTCACCCAAATACAATTGGTAAGCCATTGATCGCACCCCGACACAAAATATATCCAGTTTCAACTTCTCTGCACCTGAAAAATCGTAGAAAATAACAAAATTTATATATATGCTGCAGCACTTGCAAATTTAAAAAAAAAAACAACCGGACATGAATATTCGTGATAATATAATGAATGCTCACCCGAATACAACTGGTGCACCAATAGAGGTTTCAAGGTGCATTTTATCCTGGACTAGAATGCCCTTTGGTTGAAGTATTCTGTGACAAGTATTGGACTTGATAATTAAGGGCATGGCTTGGGTTCAGGCAATGGGCAAATTGAAGAAAATTGTTTGGTAATGGAATCAAAGAAGTGAATTTATTAATTGGGAGAATTGTGACTTGTGAAGGAGCGTGCAGTCCTCTCACTATATATATAGTTGGTTATATACACATACATACACTATGGGCGTCCACTTTTTGTTGCTCTAACAATTAATTACAACAGTATGGGAATGCTTTTTACCCTACAGTATGGGAATGCTTTTACTCCGTAACAACAATGTTGCTGGCTAATGGCTATCGACTCATCACATGCAACAATAACTCTATAAGAGTAGTGGAAATAATCGTGAAACCCCGTGGCTTTAAATCGGAACTTCAAATTTTGATTAACAATTTAACACAATATACAACTTAACATGCACTCTATAGAGTTGTGCAACTATCATCTCACTTTGTACTCCAAAAATTTGCTTTGACACAAAATGTAAATATAATACTGGAATGATATAAGTGTTGCACTTACATCTCAGTGTTAGGAAAAATTCTTGAAATACTACCTACGTCCCAGAGTATTTGTCTACTTTCATTTTTACACATCATCCAATACACTTCTTTAATCCATTTTATCTTGTAATTTGTATATTAAAAAATTATAGAAATTATATACTCACTCTGTCCCCCTAAGATGTTCTCATTTTGACTTTTGGTAATTTTTAAGAAGAGTTTAAAAAAGGTGAAAGTTTACCATAATACTCTTAATAGAAAAATGGGTGGATTGTATTAAATGAGGTGGATGAGGTGTAATAAATAAAGTAAGTGGGGGTAGTTGTGGTATTTTAATTGTTAAAAAATGAAATGAGAAGATCTATTGTGGACAAAGAAAAAGGGCTATTAGGAAGATCTATGGGGGACGGAGGGAGTATTAATAATCTATATGTTAAGACAAATCAAACAAGATCACACATGACTATATTTAGGCTTACACATTGAGAGTATTTGATGAGTCAAAGTGCTTAGATGAACAGTTCCAAAAGTCAAAACTGGACGAATACTCCGGGACGGAGGGAGTATAAAGTAGGGTACATATGTAGGATATAAATTAAATAAAATTTTCCAAAATTTTATGTGAAATTAAAATAGAAAGAAAATTATGAGAGAGAGGGAGTCGAAATGAAGGTGGGACAAGATGCATGTGATGTGGGTAAAGGAAGTAGATTTGAAATTGCATGGAAAGAGTTGAACACGGACAAATTGAAGTGAGGAAAGATAAACGTACATTTGCCATACCCATCCCTCATCAATGATGTGTCCCCGTCCTTAGTACTTAGTCCTTACCATTGTCTCCATTCTAAAAGGTTTCCACAGATATAATGAAATCTTTATTAAATAATAATATCAAGAAAGAATTTTGTATATTCTAAAGTAATGTCTCATTATGCTTAGTGCATTCATGATAAAATAACATGTTACTGACTGAGATCAGATTACAGATCAATAATTTACTTTTTCTTAGCTAATTATCCAACGATACTGAAGGCCCCCTCAAGGATAGAGTGTCGTCTTTTTTTAATTGAAAAATAGCAAAAAGATACTTACATCATGGAGTGCCACTCTATTATTGTGGCATGTGGGTTAATAAAAGCCAGCAACAATAATTGCAGGGTAAAAGCATTCCCATGCATGTGTATTGAAATCTAGATGGGGAGGTGAGTGACATGCAGTAATTGAAATTAAACTAAAGCAAAATATGTAAAATTGATATAATGGCATTAGATGAAGAATGAATGAATGACAGTCACTAGATGAGTAAAATGAGCTATTAAGTATTAAATGCCCTCTTAATTTCGGAAATTAATTAAGACACTTATTTTGGATATTAAAAAAACCAAATGCTTATTGATGGATATCGGGACCTTAGAGCAAGCCCGATGGGATCCAAATGTGATTTCGAGACCCAAATACAATAGAACCCAAGTCCGGAAGAGGAGGAGAGGCCAAAGCCCAAGGAAGAGGTGAAGTGTCGGGCCAAATATGGCCCAAAGAGGTGGATTAAACATGGTGTAAGAGGGAAATGTGATTCCTCAAATCGTGGGATTGAGGGGTTGATTTATGACTGATGCCCTGCCATGATTTATCAATGATAGTTGATTTATCGAGAATGTAGCATACGAAATTGCATATCTTGTATAAGATAGAATTAGACTATAAATAAGGGGTGAATCTTCCATTGTATCTCAAGCTGAATCTACCTAATAGAGGCCTACGAGAATTATATATTTCAACTATATTCTTGTTATTCTCATTCAGTACATTTTTCGTTGCACCATAGTTATTGGGTTGAAATCCCATTACGAACATTTCAAATCAAATTAATTAAACAAGAAAAATTGAAGCAATGGAGTGGCTACTGTGTAAGATCTTCTAGTGGTAGATTTATATTTTTCAAGCAACATTTATTCCACACTCATGAACCAAAATTCATTTAAAACAACATCCATGTGCTCCATCCTAATGGTCCTCAACTGGTCACATGCATATTTCGTACAAATAAAAGAAATTATTAAAGGTTCATTGGAATTGGAGCTGCAGAGAGGGGATGGGGATAGTTTGCATGGATTGGGAAAGAGAGTGAAAAAGTGAAAAGAAGAGATGTTTGGCCACAATATAGTTACTCCCTCCGTCCCACTCTCTTTGTCCACTTAGCTTTTAGCACATCATCTAATGCACTTCTTTAATTCATTTTATCTTGTAACTTGTATATTAAAAAATTATAGAAATTATATATTAATAATCTATATGTTAAGACAAATCAAACAAGATCACACATGACTATATTTAGGCTTACACATTCAGAGAATTTGATGAGTCAAAGTGCTTAGATGAACAGTTCCAAAAGTCAAAAGTAGACAAAGAGAGTGGGACGGAGTTAGTATAATGCATAATGATCTCTCGCTTGTCCACGCGCGCACCCACTTGCTAGCTAGCTTTCATTATTTGATTAAGGTGGAACGCTCCGTCCGAACGCCCTACAGCCGGCGGGGGAGTATATATAGACCGATTAATTACGAAGTAGCTAGGCCAGGGACGGAGCATATATATAAGAGTATATTAATTCATTCCTCTCGCCAATTATATTAATCTAACATTATAATAGTGATTATATTAAGATGGGTTTAGGGTTGCATTTCAATGCACGCACTCTTATGGTTACTCTCTCCATTATTTTGATGATGCATACCATTGCATCTGGTACGTATACTATACGTTACATCTTGTACTCATATACAGGAGTATTATTATTATTATTATTATTATTATTATTATTATTATTATTATTATTATTATTATTATCATCATCATCATCATCATCATTATCATCATCATCATCATCATCATCATCATCATGATCATTATTATTATTATTACTTCCTTCGTCTCTGAAAAGATTTTCCTTATTGACTCTTTGAAAAATATTAGAATGATGTTTTTGTGTTGACTTTCAAACGTATCCATCCGTTCTAAAAAATACTTCCGTCCCAAATTTTTGCGCGCCTTAATTAGCTTGTAAAATATTCTTACTTTCACCTAAAATGTCTAAAGTACATCCCGTTAAGTTGTCTATTGCGGATAGAACTTGTTTGGGATGTGTATTAGACATTTTAAGTGGAATAAATCTATTTTATGGGGTTCACAAAAAATTAAAGCAGAAGTGAATTCAAGAACGGAAGAGTATAGTTTAAAACTTTGGATCGGGGTGCATGATATATAGTTTTTGTACTTGTGGTGCGTTAATTACTTTTTTATTTTATATTTGTTCATTCATGAAAGGTTCTCCTCCTCCTCCTCCTCCTCCGAATGGGGTGGTTAATAATGGCGGCGGCGGAAGCGGAGGAAACATGCTGTTCAACCCAAACTTTCCGTGCGGGAATACAGCGTGCAAAACGAGTTCAGACTGTGATGACACGTGCCCCAATGGTGGGCTGTGCATGTACCAGCACTTCCATTACCCCACTTTGTACTGTTGCTGTCTTGATCCCCACTAAAATTATGTTTCATTATTTAATTGTGACAATAAATAATACTCTCTCCGTCCACTTAAGATCTTCTCATTGCGCGTTACGATTATTTTCAACTCAATTTATTTCTATATAAGGACAAAATTTTAATATAAAATCTATGTAGTAATAAAATGTATTGAGGTGAGTTGATCGAGGGTGAGGGTAAATAAACTTTCATTATTTGAATGCCATGTGAGGTGAGGGTAAAAATGAGTTGAGAATTAAAATCGGCACAAAATTCACACTGCATGTATTCGTCATAATTCACTATGACCAAAATACATTGGTGGACTCTCGTTGGAGTTTAATGAAGATTGAGAAAAGGTTGCTCTATTCATGAAAATCTTAATCTATCGATTCTCATGCTTCCAGTTTGGCTAGTGATGGCTAAAAGACATTCGTTTTGTCTCTAAACGATTGCCAATTTTTTACTTTTTAGGAAAAATTGTGGTACTGACCACGGATTTCATATAATTTAAAATAATTAAATATTATAAAAAAACTATATTTTACAATAAACTCAATTTTACTAAATTTATAATATAACTAAATATATATTTTCCATAATTGGCGGTCAAAGGTACCGCAGATCAAAAAAATCAAATTGTGGTAATTTTTTAGGAACGGAGGAAGTAATAGTATTTATATATAGAGTAATTTATCTAAATAGAACTAAAACATATTGACTTTTTCAAAATATGATTATATATTTTTTATGTCTCAATATAGGACCATTGGTCATTAACCATTAGTCATTATTCAAGTAAATGTCTACAATCACCAGACATTATTGCTCCCACTAGACATTATTAACTACGATTTAGAGAATAAAAAAGTTTAAGTCATACAGTTGAAAATAACTTATATTTTAGTCCTATTTAGTGCAAATTTCACTTATATATAATGTACTACTAAAAGATATTGCTTGAGAAGTGTTGGGATTCCTCTAAATCCCACACCGGAAGTTTAGGAGTAAACAAATTAAAATACATAAGTTCGTCCTACTCCATTAGTATACTAGGCCTTTTGTGAGGTGCCCAAAAACAAATTTATGAGGGTTTAATCTAGAGCGGACAATATAATATCATATGCAGAGTTGGGATGAGGGCACACGCTGCAATATGCAAAGGGGCCGTTGAGAAGGCTTAAAATAACATTGTCCAGTTTTTATTACACCTGAATTGGCCCAAAAAAATATAAATCATTAAAAACTTGCCCATCTTTTGTTCTTTGGCCCAAAGGTTTAAGCGATAAAATTATTCTCTTAACCCCTACACAGCAACTTGGACTACTCAACTTGAAAAGGAAAACAGAGGCACAAAGAAATGCGAATAATGGGCCGACAAACATCCCATCCCGGCCCAATTCAATCTCATCCCATCAACCCTTCAATTTCATCTTCAAGAGTTTGTTGATTTCAAAAACGGTCCCCAGAATTCTATATATGGCCTTAACCTGACTAATTAAATAATACTCCATACTGAGTATAAACTTAATTTCTGAATCATTGATTTACTATCATTAAAATAATAATATTTTATATTATATTATTAGATATTTTTAATTAATACAGTATGGAGTATTTTAATTTGTTTTTTATATTATTAGTATGAGAAATAAGATTATGTAACGAATTTGGGCTTGCATTGAGCATAGGTTAATTGAGCAAAAATATACTCCGTATAATATATATATATATATATATATATATATATATATATATATATATATATATATATATATATATATATATATATAATGGCCCCCTATATATACATAAATAATGGGCCCCTAAAATAAATTAGGCCCGGGCCGGTAGGACTGCTCAGCTCACCCCGGGCCGGCCCTGCAAGGTTTTAACGATGATAAAGTATCTTAGAAAGAAAGTAATCTAAACATGTATTTTGTTTTATTTACAGGAGTATATTGTGATGAAGTACGCCGTATGTCATTATTTATATACGAAGTAATTATATCTCGTCTTAAGATATTATTATATGTTGATTGTAACCAAATTTATGAAATAATATTAATGTATAAATAACATATAAGTGGAACAATGCTTATACCGTGGAACCCATAGGTACAAATCTACATTTTCAAAAATGAAGATAATAATACAAAGGAAAGTAGGTCAAGGATTAAGTAGGTACAACTCTATATTTTCCATTATGTTACTGCCAATTTTCCCTCATCTAATTAATCAATGTTTTGAAAATCGAACTAGACGTCAAAGTGTCAAACCACAAAGGAAAGTAGGTCAATGAGTAAATGGTGGAGTACTTCTATGGTGTTCCTTGGGTACAAACTATTTTTGTGGACCTTCTTGCATAATTATTTATTTTATTTTTTTATTTAAAAAACTATGTGTTTATTTAAGTAGTAAAAAATACTTATTTTAGTCACGTGAAACTATAAAGGGATGGACACTCACACTGAGACACTATAAGAGGGAGACTAATGAGTAATAGAAATTGTTAAATATAAAAATCATTTCCTGAACCATAATTATAAGTTTGAGCTTTTAGTTTATTTGGTTCTGTAACATGGTATTAAAGCTTTGTTGACTAAGATGTCACGAGTTCAAAACTCAACACTGCCCAATTTAGAAACAAAATGTTGCCGTGCAAAGTTTGAACAAAAATAAATCTTGCCTTTACGTGAGAAAGTGTGTTAGAATATAAAAACTATTTTTGAATTACAATAAGTTTGAACTTTTGGTTGAATAAGTTGAACAACACAAATGTCTTGGAACTAACTACTCCGTACATTAAAATGGGATTCCTTTGCATTAATAAATGTAGTACTCGACTACTCAGGTAAAAATAAAAATTCAAGTGGAGCTTCACCCACCAAATTATATACTACACCTAAATAGTGGACCTAATATAAATTAATTAATTAATTAATGGTCCTAAGTAGTGGTCCTAATATAAATTAATTAATTATTTAATGGTCCTAAATAGTGGCCCTAAATCTTAAATATAATGGTCCGCCCTATGCTAAATGGTGGTCCTTAATAAATTCATGGTTCTAAATAAATAAAATTTTAATAAAAAGTAAAACTTGACGAAAGGCCAAAGAAATGAAGGTATACATAAAGAACACACTATTTATAAATTTTGACTCTGATATATAAAAAAATTACTGTACATTATAGTACGGAGTATAATATAAAATTAATATCAGTATATTCCTATTGAAACGTAGCTTTTAAATATCAAATTTTTATAAAATATATATATGCATAAATATAGATATTAATCATCAAAGTATAACATTAAAGACCATGAAAAGCCAAATAGGAATAACATTAAGAACAAATGGAGTAAGTTCTTGTGAAGGTTTGTTTTCGATTTTTTACTTCGATGCTTTTTTCGAACCGATATGATGAATAAATAAATCTACTCCATTCGTCCCACAAAACATTTCAATTTCAACTAAATGAACACCATTGCCCTTACTTTTCTTAGATTTCACCGAGCCTAGTTTATTAACATTATCGTTGTTTCTTCTTGATCAAACTTCTATATTCCCCGTCCAAAAGTCAATATTGGAAAAATATTATGGGATAGAGAAAATACAAATTATATCCACACAAATTATTTATATAAAATATTTGAAAACATATGGGACAAAAAGTCCTATTCGAACTTATGAGATGCAAGGGATTAAAACTAATAAGGACAATTAACTACCCCGGATACAATATGTTCAGTATTTGAAATTACACCCTACATGTATGGTTCGGGCCCTGGGGACCAATGGCTCGCCCCTGTACGGGCCCATTTACTCATCCATGATTATAGAGATCCGGGCCGAAGTCCTGCATTAAATTTTTTGTCACATATTTTTTGACATAAAGCCAAATATAATGTCAAAATTAAAAATAATTTGACACTAAGAAGTTAAAACTATCCAAAATACCCCAATACGAAGTGTTATTTTAAACACCAAGTACTTTTTCTGTCCCACTAAAAGAAGTGTATTTTGATGTTGACTTTCCAAAAATATTCATGAGTAAATTAATAGTGAAAAAGTATGATGTGATAGGTAGGTTAAAAAGTAGTAAGGGTAAAAATAACTTTTTAATATTTTTAATATAAATGAGAAATATTTCTTTTAAGAGAGATGAAAAAAGAACGCCTACCCTAATTCATTCATTCTAAAGCCATATAAATCCCTTATGTGTTATTATTATCATTGCTCTTGCGTCATTCGGTATGTGTTTATTTATATATAGTACCCATATATCCTCCATGTTATTTATGCCATTAATATATATACTTAAACAATTTACATACATCTCTCATAATAATACTCCGTAAATAATTACTTTCAATTTTTTTTTTTTAAATTATTTGTTATCTCTATATTAATTTATTTGAAATATTGGACTGTTGCTAGGTCCGATTGGGAATGGAAAGAAACTTTTGAGTTGCGGTAGGGGATAGTGTACCTTGTCATAGAGGCGGCTCTGATTGCATGCATGGAGCCTTGCAAGAGTCGTGGCGGCGGCGGATTATGCTTTACCTTAATGTTAAATAAACTTTCAAAAACGACTTATAGCCACGATAAAAGATAAGTGAAATTTGCAGTGAATATGACTAAAATGATGTTCAAATGATGCTGAATATTTAGTTGAATAATGACTACTACATAATGACCAATGATCCTACATTGGAAAAATAAAAACATATGATCCTATTTTGAGAAAGTCATTATGTTTTAGTACTATTTAGGTAAATTACCCAAAAGATAAATGTGGTAAATTTTAGGCATTTTTAAAACATGGGTAGCAGTGTTTTTTGGATGCGCAAAAAAGAAAACGTAAAGGACAAAATGGGTTTGTAACAGAAAGTGAAAGTATTTTAGCGAAAAACAAAAAATGAAAGAGAATGTGTTTGAAAAAATGGAGAGAGTATAGACGTTCCATACGCATATAGATGAAAAATGATCAGACTCGTTTTTGAGCGAACCACATGACTGCTTGATCGTCACACATTCAAATAAAAATGTGCATTCATACACTCGAATGTGTACAAAGGATTTACGCAAAACACTTGTCTGCATTTTTATACATTTAAATGTGCTTAGTGGACTTACGCGAATACACATTTTTTGTATTTTTTAGGCGAATGAATTGAACTAATTAAATCAGATCAGACGAGTTCAATATGATACTCCATTATTACCCCACCTAATATTTTTAAATAATTTTCATGTGCAAAGTTGGAGTTAAAAAAAATATACATTGCATTAGAAGGACCTATTTGGGAATAACGTTAGAGATTACCGTTAGCGATTTGGATAAAAATTTAATGGTGAAAATTATTTTAAAAACGCCAACGCTAAACGCTGCCCGTAGATAGCCTTTTTCAAAATGATAACGTTAATCTCAAATGCTATTTCCAAACCGGCTTGAAACATGTTACCAAACCATCCCAAAGTAAAACCATAGACCTAATTATTTAACAAAATCTGATGCGTTATTCAATAGTTAAAATTACTCCAAGTGAATATAGAAAAAAGTGAAAATGAGGGAGAGTAATAAGTAAATGAATCTAAAAAAAATGAAAATGAATCCAAGTCCTGTAACACTATAAAGGGATGGACATTCACACAGTCACACTATGAAAGGAGGGAGACTAATAAGTAATAGAAAATGTTAAATATAAAAATTATTTTCTGAACCACAATTATAAGTTTGAGTTTTTAGTTTATTTAGCTCCGTAACGTTGTATTAGAGGTTTAGAGTTTTGTTGACCAAGATGTCACGACTTCAAAACTCAATTCCACCCAATTTAAGAAAAATTAATGTTCATGTGCAAGGTTCGAACAAAAAATCTTATCTGCACGTAGGGAAGTGTGTTAGGAGAATATAAAAACTATTTTAGGATTACAACAACAAGTTTGAACTAATTCAGTGGCACAAATGTCCTACAACTAACTACATTAAAATCATACTCCTTTGCATTAATAAATGTAGTACTCGACTGCACAGGTAAAAATAAAAATTCAAGTAGAACTTTACCCACCAAATTATATATGCACCGAATAATGTTAGAGTCACAAATAAACAGTTCACAAAATTCACAAATATGCTTTTTTAATACTTTCCTAGAAATAAGATGCAGTCAAATAATAAAAGATATTTTATTTTAAAATCCACAAAATGCAAGTTTGTAAAATTTATGAACTATATATTTGAGACTCTAGCAATTTCATTATATACTCCACCTAAATAGTGGTCCTAATATAAATAAATAAATAAATGAAATCTTAAATAATGGTCTTAAATAGTGGCCCTAAATCTTAAATTTAATGGTCCGCCCTAAGCTAAATGGTGACCCTTAATAAATTTATGATTGTAACTTTGTAAGTAAATAAATTTTTTATAAAAAAAGTTTAACTTGACCAATGAATGGCAAGGAAATTAGAAATGCACGTATACACGAGGAACACTACGGCCTACAGGTGATACGGGTTTAGGTGAGCAATATTATATCCCTTGTTCCAAAAATATTCTTTTCACCAGACTTTTCTGGATTAAAATATATTCGGTATAAATCTTGACTCTGATGATAAATGAAAAATACATCGTATTACCGAATATAATATAAATTTAGTATCAATATATTTCTATTGAAACATGTTTTTTAAATATTAAATTTTTATAAAATATATCTATGCAGAGATATAGATATTAATCGTTAAAGTATAATATTAGAGACCGTGGAAAGTCAAATGAGAATAACATTTAGAACAAATGGAGTAAGTTCTTCTGAATGTTTCTTTTTGATTTTTTACATCGATGCTCTTTTGAACCGATAGGGTGAATAAATAATTCTACTCAATCTGTCACATAAAACATTTCAATTTCGTCTAAATAAATACAATTACCCTTACTTTTCTTAAATTTAACCGAACTTATTCTTTTACGCTCTATCCATAACGACATTTTTTGAACCCGACTTGTTTTAATTATCGTTGTTTCGTCTTGATCAAACATCTATATCTCTGTCCAAAAGTCAAAATTGGAAAAATTTACTGGAACGGAGAGAATTCTTTTTATACAAAATATTTGAAAAAAATATGGGACAAAAGAGTCGTACTCGAACTTATCCTTAGAATCTAGAGACTCGGGCTGAAGTCCTGCATTAAAATTTGTGTCTCATTCTTTTTTGACATAAAATCGAATATAATATCAATATTAAAAATAATTTGACACTAAAAATTTAAAACTATCCAAATACCCAGGTGCGAAAGTGATATTTTAAACCCCAAATACTCTCTATGAGTCTCTGTCTCACAAAAGTTTTCCGGTTCTGACTTTTAAAAGAATTAAAGAAATTAGTATATTTTGATGTAGGTTTCCAAAAATATTCTTGAATGTGATAAATAAGTTTTTACGGAATAATAAAAAAGTTTGATGTGATAGGTAGACGTATACGTCTAGACACATTGATATTTGTAGGTGTCTAGACGTATACTCCCTCCGTCCACTTTTGACTTTTGGAACTGTTCATCTAAGCACTTTGACTCATCAAATTCTCTCAATGTGTAAGCCTAAATATAGTCATGTGTGATTTTGTTTGATTTGTCTTAACGTATAGATTATTAATATATAATTTCTATATTTTTTAATATATAAATTAAATTACAAGATAAAATGGATTAAAGAAATGTATTGGATGGTGTGTAAAAATGAAAGTGAGACAAATACTCTCGTGGTAAAAAAAGAAAGTAGAAAGATTTTGTAGGAGTAGAGAGAATATTAAATAAGGGTAGTTGGAGAGTCGCCTACCCTTATTGAATTACGGAGTACTTCATTCTAACCACTATAAATCTGATCTCCTGGCCTTCTCCAGTTCGATCTCCGTCTCTCACTTAATTCTTTGCCGCAACTATATATATATATATATATATATAAATCTTATATTCATCCAGACTTTTACATACAGTATATCATTCATGCATATGGCGGGACCTTCGAACAAGAAGATGATGAAGATGAAGATGAAGATGATGAGTACTCCCTTATGTGGTGTCCTTACCATCATTGCTCTTGTTGCTGCATTCGGTTTGTGTTTATTTTTATGTATATATATATATATATATATATATATATATATATATATATATATATATATATATATGTATATGTATATGTATATATATATATATATATATAGGCCGGTTCTCGTGAGAATGCACCTTGTGGAGAGAAATGAGAATAAAATCTAGCCGTCGGATCTGATGCATCGTGCGGCTCAGATTGCATCCTCCGCTCAGATTTTGAGATAGTGCATTTTCGAAGGTTTATAGTGCATTTCGATGTGATGCATTTTCGCACCATGTTGGTGCATCTAATTTTGATGAAATCTTGACCCTTAGATCTCACAATCTAAAGTACCAGATTCATTCTCATTTCTCTCCTAAGATTGTATTCTCACCAGAATCAAAATATATATATATATATATATATATATATATATATATATATATATATATATATATATATATATATATATATATATATATATATATATATATATATATATATATATATATATATATATATATATATATATATATATATATATATATATATATATATATATATATATATATATATATATATATATAGTGCCCATCCAGCATATATGATCGATAAACTATATCCTCCATGTTATTTATGCCATTAAAATATATATTTAAACAATTTACATACATTGCATACAAATAATGCTACTAATAAAGCCATAGCTTGCAGTATAGTTTTTTGTTTTGCAAATTATTTGGGTCTGTTGGCTAGAGTTTTGACTATGACTAATTTATTACTCCGTATTAGTTTAGTTTTTTACTCCGTATTTAATAAGGTAACAGGGGGATTATATTTAATTTTATACTTAGTTTAGTTCATTAATTAATTAGTTTATACCGACGATTATTGACTTTTTGTGATGATACTGGATTTTTAGAGTTTGCTCTTTTGATGAATTACAGTTAGAAAATGGTTTGGTCTCCAAGACTGTTGACAAGCAGTAGTAATGTTTTTATTTGGAGATTTCAAAAACTAAGTTTATTTGTTATTTATTTATTTTTCAAAAATGATAGTTTTGATATTAAAAGTATCTTGTTTTTTGTTTCAAAAAAAAAGTATCTTGTTTTACTTTTTGTGCTAATTAAGTACGTCGTCATTTGATTAATTTATGCTAATTTAATATTTTAATTATTTTTTGTTGTCGAATCTTTGTCGTCCACGTATCCTCAAATATTCAACAATGTCGTTTCCCGAATCCGTCCCCGTCCTCGTACATGTACCCTCACCCGTCCCAGTGCAACCTAGAATAAAACTATTTTTTTTATTTGAAATAATATATATTGGACTGTGCATCTATCTCTCAAAATTAAATAATTACTTTCATTAACTTTTTTTTTATTTGTTATCTTTTTAGATGAGTAATTAATTTGAGATATATTGGACGTACTCTTGCTTGCTAGGTCCGATTGCCAATGGAAAGGAGATTGTGCGTTGCGCTCGGGGCAGTACTACCGTACCCTGTCATCATCAAGGCTCTAATAATGATTGCATGGAGCCTTGCAAGAGTCGTGGCGGCGGAGTATGCTATTCCTTCGATCTGGAACACGTGAGCCGTTGCTGTTGTGCAACATAATTATTTATCTATATATATATATATATATATATAATAATATGGAGTACTACCCGTGTATTAGAATAAGAATTATTTCATTTGAATAATTTTATTGAGAACGTAACTTTCAATATTTTACTTTATGATATGAATATGCAATACTAATTATGAAAAATTGATGACTAAAGTTTATCCAATTTCACTAAAAAAATGAAACTATAAAAAAAAGGTAGGGAGTATATAGTATATAGTACGAATTGATTATGGAGTAATGGTCTTCAACTGCTCTCACGCAAAAATCAAACTATAATTACGAATTAATATAATTACGGAGTATGATGGAGTAATGGTTTCGGTTCAACTGCTCTCCCGCACGTATCCCCATGCAAACAAAAGAAAGTACAGTACAGTAGTTGAAACCTAGATAGGCTATGTGGGGGCAGGCCAGGTAATTTCTGTGCCCATTTTTTGTTGAGAGGTAGCCCAAAGACATTAAATTGTGTTGCACAAACAAATACGGAGTAAGTAAAAGCTTGAAGAATAATGATTGTTTTCGTTACGGGTGAGCATGGTATAGTATGGTACGGTATTTAGCTCATACCGATACTGTACCAAATATTTCGGTTCGGTATAAGATTTTACTTCGTACCGATCCCGATCCCGAAATATCGGTTCGGTATGGTTTAGGATGGTTGGTTTCGGTTTAGATACAAATCGGGATGAATATACATACCTACTTTACACGTTAAAATTTAAAAATGCCCCTTTATTTTTGAAAATTAAAAAGTGAATTTAAATAAAAATATGTGAAAAGTTAAAAAAATGAATATTTAAATGCAAGAGATGTGTATCGAAACTTAGTTTATATTTCACAAACTAAAAAAATGAACGTCAACAAAGAAGTATTTTGAATCTTTGTGAATACTTTATGTTCATACAAAAAACTAAAACTCAAACAAAAGTATAATTTACACATAATAGAACTTGAACCATTTTTTTTTAAAAAAAATTATTATTTAGTGAAGGAATATAAAAATATTACTCCGAGGTATTATTTTTTTATAATATTTTAGTATATATGTTCGGTTCGGGATTTTCGGTATGGGACGTCACCTCGTACCGTTCCCAAATACCGTACCGACCATTCGGTTCGGTATGGTTCGGTTCTTTCTCGGTTTTTTCGGAAAATTTCGGTATCCGTTCGGTACTTGCTCACCCCTAGTTTTCGTTGTTGAATAGCAACTAACAGGTAATTAGATGCACATTAATCCATTCATGTTACCCAGATGATTATGATATAACATAACAAAAAATGACTTAGGCTATGTTTAAACTAACATATATAGAGCAATAATATAATCGTACAATTCTGAATTGTGTGTGAATTTTGTCTTTGGTAACACTTTAAATCATGAATTTTCATTCATATTTTTAAAATTTCCCTGATTTAATTATATATACTCCCTATATAAAGTCATGGATTTTTAGCATGTTTTTAAAGGTCATGTGTTTTTATTGTAAATGGCATTTGTTAATTTACATAGTATCGTAGATTTTTATACGAAACAATTTATAGATTATATGATATGAAACACAAAAAACATACCCCGGATCGGAGTACATTACAATAATATATTCCCTATATCTCAAATTAAACATATTATTTTGATTTAAAATTTTTACTAAAGTTATTACTCCGTATTATTTTAGTTTATTTATAAATTGAGATGAAATTAAAATAAAATATACGAAGTACATATTTTAATGCTAAATCTAAAATTTTATATTACAGAAACTAGAGATTAAATGTCTACTACGAAATAATATATTATTTTATGAAATGAGTAACAAAAATAAATAAATAAATTCAATAAAGTGAGACTCTATCAATATTAGGCATGTAATTTCACAATTACATTGCATATTATTCTCGATCCAAATACTCCCTCTGACCCTCTCTCCACCCCCCAACAAAAAAAAGTTGCTAAAATAAATTGAACAAAAAGTAAAAGAATTGGGGTGAGAGAGGCTCGAACTCTCGACCTCAGGATCACTCAGAAGCTATGAGACCTACGCGCTAGCCAACTGCGCCACCACCCCGTGTTGTTTATTTTCTCAGTTTGTCTTTATCTGTATATAGTTTATATATATCCATTTCGGCGAAAGCCAATTTATTTAAGCCTTTTTAAATCTATATAAACATTAGAATAAAATTGAAAAACATTCATTAGATTAAAAATTATATAAAAAAGTTATAAAATACTCCCTCCGTCCCCCTGTATTTGTCCACATTTAACTTTTGGAACTGTTCATCTAAGCACTTTGACTCATCAAATTCTCTCAAAGTGTAAACCTAAAAATAGTCATGTGTGATCTTGTTTGATTTGTCTTAACAAATAAATTATTAATATATAATTTTTATAATTTTTTAATATACAAATTACAAGATAAAATAGATTAAAGAAGTGCATTGGATGGTGTGCAAAAATGAAAGTGGACAAATACAAGGGGACGGAGGGAGTAAGAAATAACATGACTATATATCCTTCTATAAAATACTTAATAAAAAGATGAATCACTATTTTGTACTTTGTTTTTTTGTCTTTGTACAAGTTTTTTTACCATGTGTGATATTAAATTTAAGTTTCAGAGAGTGCCTAATTTTATTTTCGTATTTTTGTATCACAATAGAGGCGCATAATCTCAAGGGAGGTTCCTCACCAACACACATCTAGATCAACAATATTCTACTTTACTTTCATCTAAAGTACACTATTCAGTAAATTGTTTTTTTGGACCCAATCTTTCAAATTTAGTTATATTAGATGATCCCCAACGAATAATACTAAACTCAAACCTAAAATACAGTACAAATTGAATATGCAATAATTCATTACACCAAACTCAAAGTCAAACTCATAAAGTACCATATACAAATTGAATTTGGTTTGAGACAGCAATTTTGGGAGGGGGGGGGGGATCCTATGGGCGGTGCAAGAGGAAAGAAATCTGGACATCCAAACTGCTATTAGTCCAGCCTGTTGTGACAAATTTAAGGAAATTCAAGATGTAGGTAACTATTGGAAGTGCTCTTATTGTGATTGAAAACTTAGCCAAGAATAAGAGCATCATTCACACATACCTAGTATAAAGAATTTCTTGTTTGAGAGCAACATTTTCAACCAAAATTTACCCTCACGGAACAATTGAAGTTTATAGAACGATAACAAAACTTATTTTTCACATCAATAGGTACAAATGCATGAAACCCACAACTTCAAACCGGCTAAAGTTGCTGTAATATGTACAAACTCCCTCAAAACATAGCACCCAATGAAGGTGATATATGGGCTTCAATACATACCAAAACCACACTATATAGTATATACGATGTGCTCTGTCTCTACAACGTATGTGAGGTATATTAAACTGACCATGCTGAAGTTATACACAACACGGATGATATTGAGGTTGGCCCACCAGTGTAATAATTTCTGAAAATGTTGCAAGTGATTGTCGCTGGGGTTAAAGTAGTATTTTCCATATTAGACAGTGGAAGAAAAAAAAAGGAAAAAGAAATGGACAGGCATTGGTCATTGGCCATCGGAGATGGATGTGCACCTGAGCAAGTAAGAGAAAGTCAGTCCTCAACAGGAATGTTTGTATAGGTGCATTCAGAACTCTCCAATTCAGCGCCATTGCCTTTAACTTTAGCCCTATTGGTTCTCCATATATGCAGCAAACTTTTCCTGCAGATCCAACATATATATAGGCATTTAATGATAATGATGGATAGACGACCGTTTTGTACTACCATCTCATGATACTATTAGGATGCCAACTAAGAGCATGTTTGGGATGACTTTTGAAATAGAATCACTTTTTTTTTTCAAATTTCAAAACCAAGGTGCTGCTACTTTATGTGCTTCTGTGTTTTGAGGCAGGGGTCTCTTGGAAACAGCTACTCTACTTCCGACTTGCGAGTAGAGATAGGGTGGTTGGGATTCTAATTTCCGGAAAAATGAGGCTCTTCTTTAAATAAGGTACCATGCTCTTATCAAGAAAAGTGTTTTTCTTTGTAGGTGCAATAACTTAATTGACCTCATTAGTTGAAACAATTGATAGTTTTTTTGATGGAGTTAAAAAAGAAGAAGAAGATACAAGTAGTAGTTTTATTATTGCTGAAATGGTTGAAGAGGAAGATAAATGACCATCATACCCTAACCTTCAAGATATGATTTTGTTTATTTTAATTTGAAAATATATTTTATAGTATGTTATATAGCATAAAAAGTAGTACCTCTCTGTTTGAATTTCCCTCTTTGCAAGCATAAGAGTCAAGAAGACAGGAACCATTGCAGCACATAAATGCTTGAGTGTATGCCCACTAACAACATGATGAGTCCACCTATAAATTGGTTTATCCGCTGCTTCCTCGATTTTAGCTATGAGATAAAATGCTGCAAGATTAAAATGGGAAAAGACTGAATTAGCACCACTTGAAAAAGTACATAATAGAGCAGCATTATATTGAACAATTCCAACAATTGAGAGAGAAAAGAAACACAGACCAGCTGCCCATAACCAATATACCGAGTGTGTATACATTGGAGGCATCAATATAGCCATTAAAGGAATAGCTATACAGGGAACAAACTGAATAACCGCATAAGGACGAAGATCGTCAAAAAATCTGCAACCACAAAAAGGACAATCATTCAATGCTTCAAAGTTCAAACTGAAATGGCGTGGAAATACTTGAGAGTTTACAAAATTCAGCAGTTTAATTTAATACAATATAGATGGGTAGAAGTTTCTGAGTTCCCATGCACCTAAATCCCACTTTTGGAAACTACTTACAAGAACTTGCAAATATAAGATATGTTTGGAACCCGAAAAACGTCAGGGAAAGAAAAAGTGCTGAGGAGATATGAAGGGAAATCACATCTGATTTATTTTTTTGAATGTTTTCTTGGACTCAGAGGTTTAGGTTTCTCAGTCTTTATATACTCTGTAATAGAGTTCATAAATAGAAGTAGTTTGATTAAATATAAAAAAAATTGAAATATTGAGTTTGAACCAATTTTTTTTAGTTTCCCCCAAAAATTATTTTCTTCCAAAATTTGTACATCCTCCTCATTATCTTTCCCTATCAATTTCCAGGTTCAAAAACAGACCCGTACAAAAACCTCCAATACAAGTTTACATCCACCATGCAAAAAAACAATGTCTACATCTACCTAGGTCCCGCCTAGATGCTAGGTTTCATTGGCCGCCTGTAGGCCCGAGTTTGATGTCCATCTGGTGCTTTTAGAAAATATTGGTTATACATAGAAAAATGTTTTCTAGATAGAGTAACCAGAAGGATTTGTTCAGGCAAGAAGTATGTGCAATCATCACTACAATAATAATAAAGGTATCTTCAAATGAATTAAAGCTAACCTCCAATACAATATACTAATCACACCAGCCAAAATCAATGGAATAATAGATACTGTTCCCTTTCTCTCATCCACCCTCTCAATTATAAAGATAGCAATGATGGAAGTGAATGCAACAGTCATCTGTAACAACATAAATCAAATGACAAAGAAAATAATCAAAACAACAACAATGATGATTATTATTATTATTATATGGAGTAATGATTATTATTATATGGAGTAATAATAATGCGTAAAATGTAATAATAAAAGAGCGAACAATAAAAAAATTCCATGTTAGGCTCTATTTGATATCTAATTCTGGCTTATTATGGTAACTATGCCTATTAACAAAATAAATAGTTTTGACTTGTTTGCCTGAAATGAAAGGTACCATGTCTTTTTTCTTTCATAACATTCAGCCATTCCATCTAAATAACCCTTAGTAAACAAGCGCTAACTTTATAAAGCACAATGCACATCATATAGCAAAGAACTCACTGGAAGACGGTCCCACACCAGGCGATCATCATTGGGGTCGAGATGATAGTAAGCTGATCCAAAAGCAACAGCTGCCACACCTATGTAAAAACATGTCCAGCCCCAATGCTCTCCTTGCAAACTTCCATCACGACATATGAGTTCACAAAAAAAAATCGTGGACTTTAAAAACACAGCATCTGCTATGAGATGAGTATAATTTCTGAAAAATATGTTTCACCTCAGTTTGAAATAGTTCCTATAATAACAGAGTACAAGCCCAATCAATCCAATGACTAAGAAGGGGAAATTTGAAATCACATTCAAGGCATTGGGTATCCCTACAAAATAACCACAAAATTAGAACTGTACAGAATCCTGAAACATCAAAAAAAACAAAAATGAATCTCAAATCAGGAGACTGCAACAGTTAATCCACAATTTACACCATCCAACAACTTCATTTCCTATGTTCACATCCCTAAATCCAAAACCCTAATTCATCAGTTATTTCCTTCTCTAGTTAACACCAGACCCCTAAAGTCCATGAATTCGACCAAAGCGCACATCATAATTCCAATCCAAAACACAAAGGAAGCAGAGAAATATTATATATACAGCTAAACATACGCATAGTAGGATCAGAGAGAGAGAGAGAGAGAGCAAAATACTGAAATTAACCAAAGAAATTGCGCTGATCAGCGAAGTCGTGGTACTCTTGAGACTGAGAGATGGTTGGAGTGGCAATCATGAGCACCACGAAGCACAGAATCGCGACTCCCCATATAGCGATCGTCCTTCTCCTCATCTTCCTTTACCTTGCGTTTGCTTCCCTTTTTCTTAGCAATGGAAGAATTAAAAAATGGCGATGCGGTTAGAGAGAAAACCAGAGACCAGTAGAAACCCGATTAGGATTGAGAAGCCGGAAGCACAACGGCGGTTTAAGTAGACCGCCGCCGGCCGCCAAAATTGGGGGCTTTCTAATTCTCTAATATTTTTTTGGACCTGTTTGAGAATAGCTTTAACATTTTGAAAATGATATCAACTGTAACGGTTAGCGTTAACATTTTTAAAGTTATCTACCCCTTTGAAAAAGTATCTAAAACACTAACGATAATCTCTAACGTTATTCTCAAACATAACTTTTGTTTGGTTTAATTATGATTCAGATAGACTTAAAATTCTTAATTCGAGTCTAAAATGATACTGGTTTAGAACGGTTAAGATAGTATAATTCGAATAGATGTGTTAGCATTATTTTTTTAAAGTGATGCTTACATAGTCTCAATATTCACGTTTAAAATCTGGACTTTTCATATTTTTTATGATCTTCTATGTGGATGTTTCTTTTTTACAAACATTTACTTCTTTTATGTTACTTAAGATCCACAAAATGAGCATTAATCTTAAATTCACGAAAGAATTTGCCTATTTTTTAAATTATAGTGTTGAAGTTTTATGAAAGTTAAATGTTACTTTTATCTTGATTTTAAAATGTTTGGCATTATTTTTTAATTAATGTGTTAAATGCTAAAAAATTAGGAATCAGTTCTTAACTTTACTTCTAAGCTCACGAAACATGTCATGAAATTTGTGGTGCATTTGAAAACTTTTAACTTTTTTTCAAGAAGAGATCACTTACAAGTTACAAATTAAAAGAACAAGGCAGAGCAAAATTGTTAAGAGATTACTTCATTTTTTTAAATAGAAATTAGTTCCTTAGTTACCCTCTAAATACGATTATAGTAAAGAAAGTTATTCCAATTTTATAGGCCAAGTAAATGGAGATACATCAAATAAATATTGGATACGGAGTACTACGGTATTTGTTATTTGTATTAGTTACCGATCCAGCCCAACACGGTTGAACACACTCCATTACCCAAAGTACACCGTTCAAATATTGGTTTAAAATATATATTAAAATTATTTTTAATTTGATTTAATACCTTTTCCGTTTCACACTCCTTGTCCACTTTTTCTAAAATTAGATAAATTAAATTGAGAATAATTTTAGTTAAACTCATAAACTGAACTTGGAAAATCATTTTAGGACATGAGGAATATTCCCCCAAATTTTCAAAATATTGCTCTTTTAAGGAGTATTTCTTTTCCCTTATACTAAAAAACTTCTACTTTCTATTATTTCATCCATTCCTAAAAGATTATCATAATTTGATGGTCAAATTGTGTCACCCTTTGATCGTGAATTTCAAAAAAAATACATTTAGTTATAATGAAAATTTAATAAAATTAGATTTATTTTAAATTAAAATTTTAAAATATCAATTTTTATAATATTTAATTATTTTAAATTATATTTAATTTGTGGTCAAAGAGTGCCACAATTTTAATCAAAAAATATTAAATTGTAGGAATCTTTTAGAGACGGGAGAGTAAAGAACTACTTTTGCCCTCATATTAACATGTACTTTTTTACAAATAATCTACTTATCACTTCTTACTTTTACCTATCACGAAAAAAATTAGAAAATCAACTATAAAAACACACTCATTAGTCAAAATAAGATTTTTTCTAGAAAAGAAAGGGAGAGTTTAAATTGCATCAAAATTCTACAAGAAATGATCAGAAAGTAATTTATTTTATTATCAATAAAAATGTATATAGAAAGTAAAACTATTTTGAGGTGCGAATAGTAATTAAGAAAGTAAAATCAATTTAATTTGTGGATAATAATTATGAGTCTTTTTGGGTCGAATAAAACTCACTTTTTTTTCATTTGATTTCAGTTACGGAGTAATGAATTATTTTAATCAACAATTTCACAACATAATGGACTATATATACATATATGATATGCTTCTTTGTAAAAGTCTTTTGAAAACCAAAGTTCATACATGAACACATGCACACATTGTCATTAGCAATTTACCTTTTTTCCAACTAAGCACTATTACATTCATCAACTAAAAAGATAAACCATATATAATGTCTTTTTTTCTATAAATCTAAGTCACTTTAGCGCCATTCTCTTTCACTTTCCTCCAAGATGCGCTCCATCTCTGCAGCAAACTTATCCTGTTTGGCATATCAATCAAAAATTTATGCTTAGAACTAAAAATTATAGAAAAATTTAAAATGATAATGACTAATAAGATAATGTATTATATCATCCGTTTCAAAATAAATCCTCTTAGTTTAACTTTGCACGAGCTTTAAAAAAGTGAAATGATATGATTAATACTAAAGATGAATCATAAAAAAGTTATCAAAAAAAATAGGAAGATTAATTTGCGGTCTAAAAAGAAAATAATAACGATTAATTCAGGACGGAGAGAATAATTTGTCAAAGAAAGCAAATTTTTTATTCTTATTAGGAGTGATATATATTTAGGAGAGAATAATTTGTCAAAGAAAGCAAATTTTTTATTCTTATTAGGAGTGATATATATTTAGGGGACATTAAACCTCAATGTTATACTATGACTTGAACTTTAATTGTGATACTTACCGTGCCCGTTTTAAAAATTAACAGTTTATATGCTTTTTAACCCTAGTAACCCCCTCCCCCCACCCCTCCCATCATTCCTTCAATTGCACCCTACGAAACTTAGTTGACTTTGAAAACCAATACTGACTTTAAAATCAACTAAATGTCGATTGTCAATTTTTCGAATGAGACATCGTAATACCATAGGTCATTATATTCCATGACATTAATTCACATTATTATGGAAACCAAGTTGTTTAATGAAATACTATTAGCAATAAACAATATTACTAATTAATTTGGTCTCTATAATAGATAAATTAGTATTTTAAAAATATTTAATTAATATAATAAATCTAATAAAACTATTTTTGTATCAATATTTAATATCATTTTTATTTAATTTGGAGTCAAAGTTTACTGATTTTGACTAAAAAAAGTCAAAAGTGAATAAATATTCCGGGATGAAAGAAGTATTAATATTAAGAAAGTTATTAGCACTAGAGATTTTACAAGTGATATTAGAGTCAAGATCATGCGGCGTTCGTTTTCATATATGAATTGAATGATACATAGCTAGTCTCCACGAGAGAACATTTGATGCACACGTGATCAATAATGTCTATGTGAATATTGTATAACCAATGTCCCTGTGAATTGAAAGTTACCCATAGACCACACATATATAGTCATAAATATGATACCTTTGAGTTTGAATGTCCCTTAGTGCAAGCATAAGAGTCAAGATGGTGGCGAGCGCAGCAATGAATGCATGCTTTAGCGTGTGGCCGCTCACAGTGTAACCGGTCAAGAAGTATGTTGGCCGGTCCGCTATTTCATGTATTCTCGCCATTTGAAAACATCCTATCATCATTTCATTATTGCAATTTGGGTAGTGGTTAATTGAGACACAATAAAGAAAAAAATCAACTTATTATGAAAAAATATTATTACTCTTAGTATAATCCCAATGGTTTAATAAAATCATCTAACTATATTTGAAAACTCAACTTTAAAAGAAAATAAAGTAGAAAAACAACTATATATACCTGCTGCCCATAACCAATATGTTGAATGAGTATACCTTGGAGGTATCAATATAGCCATTAGGACCACTACTATGGCCGGAACCGTCTCCACCACGGCATACGGTCGGAGATCGCCCGTGTATCTTGCAACCAAAAATGTAAATAATTTTGTATATACCCTTGGTATGATTTAGCGTTCATGATCTCACATCAAAATTTCAAGAGAAAATAATCAATTAATTAAGAAGACATCGAGTTGCATTAGATAATCATCGATCTATTAAATTGGATTTAGTTTTATGAAGTTCTTTGACTCAAAGTGTGCTATAACCTAGTTAAAGCAACATTACACTATTCTAAATTTTATCATCAAAAGAAAAAGGTTAGAACTTAGATAGGTGGATAAGAATTACCTCCAATAAAAAACACTACCAACACCACACAAAAGGAAGGGAATAAGAGACAAGACTCCCTTCTTCTCATCCACTCTTTCAATCACAAATATTGTCAAGATACCCGCCATGGCAACTGCCATCTGCAACGAAGAAAAATAAGTAATAAAAATAAATTTATTTACCGGAGAAATAAATGTAAAGATTATTTAGAGACAGATGGAATATATATGTTAGTATATACTCCTTCCGTTTCTTTAAATCCTTCCACTTTTGACTTTGGACAAAAATAAGGAAAGTGTAATTTTAGTTGAGTTTCCAATTTTGCCCCTGATGTGATGGGTAAAAGTAAGATATGATAGTGTGGTTATTAGAGAAAAAGTATGATGTGATAGATAGGGTATGAAAAAGTAAGGGTAGGGTATGAAAAAGTAAGGGTAAAAGTGGTTTTTTAATAGAAAGTGGAAGTGTTTTAGGGAATTCAAAAAAACGAAAGGAGAAGAGTTTTGTGGAACGGAGGGAGTATTATTGATCCCAAGGTAATCAACACTACATACTTACGGGAAGGCGGTCCCACACAAGGGTGGCATCATTAGGGTTGAGATGATAGTAGGATGATCCAAATGTTACTCCTGCAATGCCAATGTAGAAACATGCCCATCCAAATACCTCCCCATGCAAGCTTTTGTTTGTAATTTAAGACATGCACACCAAACACGTACTTATTACCGTTGTATCAAACTATCAGTATATTTTATATCGCCAAATATTGCAACGGTTTTGTACCGATGCAAATATTGTGATGCAATTGCTTCAGTGCAATTACATCGGTGGTAAAATAAACGATGCAATTGGCCATTTTTTCACAAAATTGGTAAAATAATTGGTCATTGTTTAGAAAAAACCGATGCCAATAACAATTGACCGGGACAAAAACTTTAAAAAAATGAAGTGAAAAGGGATTATTATTATACGCAATTCAATTGAAGATGAAATTATTTTTCACGGCTTCACAAAACGTGGGATTATTTTGGACAAATAACATAACGGAAGAATTTTCAACTCATCATTCCATTAACTTTTTCCGTCAAAGTGTATCATATCAATGACCTAAAATGCGCAACAATATAGGAAGTATATATTTCAAGTAACATTATTGAAATGTGCAATTATGTCAAATACTTTCCCCAATATGCTTTAAACTCTGTAAAGTTATATTGTTAATATCTTTTTGAAGATGGAGGAACTATTATCAAATAATTGGCATTTCCGTTAATCCCAACTTTCATTTTGTTACCTAAAACGGGCATTTCCGTTAACCCTCCGTTAGAAACTTAACGGCGACCCAAAACTGGCAAATTTCAGTAAAGTTGAGATTATTATGCATCACAGTGAAAGGTGGGATTATTTTTGAAAGACCAGGTAAAGTTGAGATTATTTTGGGTAATTTTTCCTTTAAAAAACTCAATTCGTCTATGTATTTCGCAATTTTTTTTGAAGGAATTTTATTCTTTTTTAATAATGAAGATCTATATATATTGTAAATAAAATCACGCACCATATCTTGAAATAACTCCCTTTGTAGTAGCATAGTGCAAGGCCTGCCAATCCAATTGCTAAGAATGGGAAATTTGAAATCACATTTAGTGTATAGGGTATCCCTACAAAACAAAATTAGTTTTGGTCATACTCCGTATATAAATGCACCCCAGTGATACTCTACTTAAAATTTAGGAAAACACTATAAATAAATTAAATTTGCACCAAATTAATTAATGAAAGACTAAATAATTAATTAGAGTTCTCATCCTCTTTTTATTCGTCTTATACTACCTCCGTCCCAGAGTATTTGTCCACTTTCATTTTTACACACCATCCAATACACTTCTTTAATCCATTTTATCTTGGAATTTGTATATTAAAAAATTATAGAAATATATATTAATAATCTATATGTTAAGACAAATCAAACAAGATCACACATGACTATATTTAGGCTTACACATTGAGAGAATTTGATGAGTCAAAGTGCTTAGATGAACAGTTCCAAAAGTCAAAAGTGGACGAATAGAGCGGGACGGAGGGAGTATTAATTTTCACGGTTGTTTTTCCTTCCGTAAAGAGAAATGAATAAATGTCAAGTAGGAGTAATACTCTTCTTGTATGTTCTCTAAAAAAATTCTATCAAAACAAAAAACTTGTTTACTTTACACAAGTTATTTAAATTGAGACTCCTTTTGGGAAACAGAATTCGAATCATGAAATTGGAATTAGAGATTTTAATTCCAATTCTATTACTCCCTCCGTTTCTTAAAACCATTCTTCTTTCATTTTTTTTGTTTTTCTTAAAATACTTCATCTTTCTATTAAAAAACCACTTTTACCCCTACTTTTTCATACCCTACCCATCACATCATACTTTTTCACTAACAACTAAACTATCACATCTTACTTTTACCCATCACATCAAGGGCAAAATTGGAAAGTCAACTATAATTTAACACTTTCTTATTTTCCCCCAAAGTCAAAAGAGGAACTTTTTTGAGAAACGGAAGTAGTATTTGGTAGTACAAAAATTTGTTAATTTAGAATTAGTAATGCAAAAAATGAAATGGAAATCGAGAATTCAATTTCAATTCTGGGTACCAATCGAACTCTCTATGAGTGAAACTGGAACAAGGATTTGTAGATAAAGGGAGATTTGGAGTACCAAAGAAACGGCGTTTATCAGCATAGTCATGATACTTCTGAGGCTGAGGGATTCTGGGAGTGATTAACATGAGGAGTGCGAAGCAGAGGATCCCTACTCCCAGGGCCCGTGGGCCCATCTCCCTCGTCTTCCTTCTGCTTACTGTCCTCGTTTCTTCCTTCTCCATTTATTTCAATTCTCCGCCGAATAAAATTTTATTTTTTTTGAAGGAAAATAAAATAATTTGGAAGCTATTAAAGATAAATTTATATATATATATGAAGTGAAGAAGGAAGCCTACGTACCGGTGCTGCTGGAGGGTTCTTTTCTTCTTCTTCTTCGTTTCTTCTTTTCTTTTTGAAATTGCAGGAGCTGTGCACACGTGTCCTGTGCTATTGCACACGTGGCATAAGACTGGCAATCGATTGATCGAGAAACCAAAGCCACGAGCAAATGGACTTGTGCTACAAACCGATCAACACAATACTTTGTTTTACCCACAATCATTAATTAGTGTGGGCGGAAAATAGACTATGATAAAAATGTACTCTTTCCGTTCATAAATATTTGTCACACTTGTATTACCGAAGTAAAATATCAAGGTTTTTCAATTTATTTTATGTGAAACAGAAATAAAAAAAAATCTACATATCAAAAAACTACATGAAAATTTCCAGTGTCTCCAAAAGTGGGTTAAAAATAAGAGATAAGAATCATCAATTTTTCGTTTAGTGCTCCAAAAGTGTTCCAAAAACACAGTGGCACCATTAGCCGTGTCTAGAGAACCTTGCTCTTCGGTCAGGTTGGAAAGGACTCCTGAGGATTGAGAATCATCCCTTTTTTAACAAACAATGATGTTGTTCCCTTTCTCTTGCATATTCAAGTTTGCCCCACTTTTCAGACATAGAATTAATTATTTTATTCACAATCTTTTTTTGAGAAAAAAATGAAAGCTAACTTGAGATCATCCTGGGACGCCCAAACTTGGTTCAGGTGTAATCTGGGAACTATTGTTTTTAATCCTTTACCCGTCAAATTTGAGACAAAAAATACCCTCAATAAACACACACACTACCATACCAAAATACAACAAATAAGTAGCAATGAAAAGGAAGAATACATAAATAGAATTATTTTTCAGCTCCTCAAAAACAGTATGCTCAAATGGTATAACAGAATCCAAGCTGATATACAAGAAGACATCTCAAGTACAGAAGAAGCAAAAAACAAAAAAAAAAAACAGAGTAACAATGGCAGCATGGCTGCCAAAAATGCTCTCTACAAAATGACTCTGACCATGATGAACATGAAGAAGCCAAAGCCTCCTTCCTTTCACTTCCTTTTCCTAGTAAATTAACTTGCATTTACACTACTAGGGACACCTTAACCTTTTATATATAAATGTATATATACCCAAAGTTGGAAATTCCGTGGAATCATCAAATATCAAAGCCGGGCATGGCAAATTGGGAGGCAAAACACTCAACCTGTGCACGAAGCTCTGTGACGTCTTTGTTGTTCTCCGTTCCCTTGAGGAAAGCCTTGGAGAGCTTGCCGTGTTCTCTCTGTACACAGATTGCTATCTGTGCAGCTTTCAGCAGGATATCGGCTATTGTCTCGAAATCTGACTCCAAACACCCTCTTGTTGTCATTGCTGCTGTTCCTGCAACCACAGGGCAAAAAATATATTTATATATAATCCCTTTGTTGGGGGACCGAGAACGTCTAGGGGTTTGTTTGGAACCTGGAAACAGTGACGAAGGAATTTGGCTTACCTATTCTCACGCCCCCGGGCGTAACAGTTCCATTGTCATCAAAGAGCATGACTTTGTTGAGAGTGATGTGACACAGTTCACATATCTTCTCGTAGTTCTTAACTGAAAAACACAACAACAAACAATAGAGGGTATCAGTTTACAATGCTAACTTTTACCCGTTGTTAAAACATACACACAATTCTTGATTACATTTTTAGGATCACAGTGAATTAGGACAAGAAGAAAGATTTGGATGTCTTATTGATGAATCTTCGATTCTACCTCAGTCCAAAGAAAATAGTATGCTGACAAGTCATTAATACTTTTTCTATTGGCCCGTTCAGTAAATCGTATTTCGCTAATGTGAAATGGCTGAAACATATGAAATTTATGCTTGCCGAAGGGAGCCTAATTTTTTGTTCTTTGTTTGGCAAGGTGATCAAATCTATCCTACTATGGGGGTATTAACATATACTCCGTATAAGACTCTTTTGTTAAACCATGAAAACTAGCCAAGTCTGTCAAAAGTCAAAACATTAGGGGCTACTTTTTTAGGAAATTTTCTTTATTTTTTGAGCCCACGATTTTTTGGACAGATGAATGTTGATTTAAATAATGTAACAGATGGCGATGTAATCAAAGTAACATGGTATGGAAAAAGTCAAAAAAGATCAGAAGTTTGTGTATAAGACTTGTCAAGACATGAAAACTAGCCAAGTCTGTCAAAACATTAGGGAACACTTTTTTTAAAAAAAAATTATTTTTTGAGCCTGCGATTTTTAGGACAGTCGAAAATAATATAAATAATGTAACTGATAGCGCATTAATCAAAGCAACGTGGTATGGAAAAAAGATTAGGAAGTTCGTTTGTGTCAAACCTATTAAACCAAGATTCCTTAGATCCCAAATTATCAGATGATTGTCGGTCCCACCAGTGACCAATCTACAATTTCTTTTCAACAGCGCATTTCCTAGGGCTTGAGCATTCTTCTTCACTTGCTCCATGTAAATCTTGTATTCAGGAGTAGCTACTTGTTTCAATGCTAGGGCAAGGGCGGCAATGTGGTTGTTGTGTGGACCTCCTTGCAATGCTGGGAAAACCGCAAAATTTATTTTCTCCTCAAAATCATACTTTTCACACCCATCAACTTGATTCAAACATGTGCCCTTCTTCCTTGGTTTTGCACCCTTCCTGTAAAAGATAATGCCTCCTCTTGGACCTCGAAGACTCTTGTGGGTTGTAGCTGTAACTATATCACAATAATCAAAAGGGCTCTCACAAACCTGCATACACATAACCAGCCAAAGCAAAAATTAAACAATCTAAAACACTAATTTTTACTCCGTAACTTTTTTAGTAATACAAGTAATCAATTGAGAACAGAACATATTTCACCCATCACATAGTTCAAAAAAACGCAATACCAAGAAGCTAATAACATATCCTGCTCCTTTAGGTCATATCTATTTGTCCACTTTTTGAGTTCTGATTGGTCCTTTTTAAATTTGAACTGTCCATTTCACCATTTAATAAATTCATACACCATTTTTTAACAATTATACCATTCAAAAATAAAAATGGATCACATTTGAACCAGGTCACTTGGAAATAGCCTGTCTACTTTCCAATCTACATACACAGAGACCCCCACTCTGTGGGATTTATTGGGCCTCTTGTTGTTATTTATCACGAGAATAAATATGGAATACATTAGGAAACATGAAAAGAGAAGGTAAATCCCATTAACTAATGGTATACTTGATCAATTGATATTATTGTGATATATGTATAACTTTGCAACCTTCTTGTTTCTTAAAATATGTTTTGGGAAAATGGGGCAACATAAGACTGTGACCATATTGATTTGCTCCAAAAGACGCTTTTGATTCAAAATAGCAGTGACCATAGTTTTGAAAGGTGAGCGTCTCCCTCGCCTAATGCGCCTCATGCATCCGGGCAACATTCTACTCACTGTAGATGTTCGGGCTTCGGGCGGGGCGCTGTCCACCTGAGTCGCTCGCTTTTCTTGCCCGAGTTGTTCGCCTTTCTCACCTTACTGGCAATGGGCCTTTTAAAAAATTAGCTGGCATTTTTTTAATGCATTTCTATGTATTAAATACTCATTTTTTTAGAAACATATGTAGTAACTACTCTAGTTTAACATGTATGCCTTGCTTGGGATTGACTATTAATTGCAGTGCACTATATATTTTATGTATGTGAGGGTATGCCCCAAGTTTGCCTTTTGGCCGCCCGCCTTTCGCCTTAAAAAAGGCCCTCTCCCCTGCCTCTCGCCTCTCAAAACAATGGCAGTGACAAAAAGCTATTAAATGATTTTCAAAAACAAAAATCATCTTCCCAACTACAGCTATGTAAAAGAGTCCGCATATTAATATAACAGAAATAATGATATTTGAAATGTTTAATGAATTAAAACAATTTTAGAAGGTATTACGGAGTATATATTTATATGGAGACAAAACAACCCACCTTAGCAGCAACGAGACCACTGATTTGAGCCATATCACACAACAATACTGCTCCACACTTGTCTGCAATCTGTCTAAATCTTGCATAATCCCACTCTCGGGGATAAGAACTCCCACCGCATATAAGTATCTTTGGGCGAAAATCAAGAGCCCTTTCCTCAAGCTTATTGTAATCCACATATCCAGTATGTGGATTCACCTTATAAGGAAAACTTTCAAAGAAAATAGATGCCCCTGAAACTTTCCTCCCATTCGGAAGATAGTACCCGTGACTTGTGTTCCCACCTGAAGGTGTATCCAACCCCATTATACGATCACCAGGCAATAACAGACCTGTATATACAGCAAAATTTGCAGATGTACATAAATAAGGCTGAACATTCACACCCCAATTCTCAGGATCAAGTCCAAAAGCAACCAGAGCACGATCACAACAGAGTGTCTCAATCTCATCAATGAATTGATTCCCACCATAATACCTTGCTCCTGGCATTCCTTCAGAGTATTTATTTGTCAAGTGGCTTCCTAATGCTTCCATTACTGCCTTGCAAACAAAATTCTCAGAAGCAATCAATTCAATCCCCTTGCACTGCCGCTGTTTTTCGTTCTCCATTATCTGGAACAAATCTGGATCAGCTAATCGAAGGCTCTGTTTCCCCCAAGCACTGACAGAATTCCTTCGTGATTCGATGCTTTGTTGCTGTTCGCTTGAGATTGGAACCCTTAAACCGCCATTAGATGAAGGAGACGCCGAATCAGTGTCCCTCTTCCGCTTCAAACACATGGAATGCCCCAAAATCCGAATCTCACCCTCATCCCCACTCCCTCCACCGTCCTTCTCCTTCACCTCCATCGTCTGCTGCTCCATCAATTGAAGCGGCACAGAGGGAAGAGGATTGGAATGGTCTCCAAACTTCGAATCAATCTGAAAACAGATCGAGTCCTCCGCCGATTGGCTGCGCTTCGCCGGAGCAGGAGTCGACGAGTGGGACGAGAACCCTAACGACAAATTACTCGACTGCGATTGAGTAAAATCCATACGAATCAGGCCAAATAAACCAAAACTACAAACACTCACTCGATCTCACCGCTCAAGCTCCAATGTGTTTCAACAGAGACAGCGGCGGCAACAACATCGGCATCCGCCGGAGCAGCAGCGGCTTCCGAATCTCACCGGGAAGAAGTACGACACCATCGGCGCAACCGAAGTATCCAAAGAAGAGAGCGGAGATAACAATAATTACATATAAAAAGTACAGTGTATGGGACTGATGACGGATAGGGAAAGGGAGAATCGTTGAGGAAGACGATAATGCGGGCAGATGTGAAGGGGGGATGAACCTGGACGCTTTTGTCGATTCCGGCAGCGCGCTTAGGGTTCAACGACCTTTGCAGAAATTTGGTGCGAACACGATGTGGTTTACTACAATTCTAAAAAACCTAATCTAGGTTTTCAAATAAAAAACTACTCTTTGTCAAAACACTTATTAATTTGATTAATGATCAAAATAAAAAATGATTAAATTGTATTTGACTTTCTAATTTTTCCTTTGATGTAATATACGGAATATAAATTATTAGTAAAAATGTATAATGTCATAAGTAAGGTACGAAACAATAAGGATAAAAATAGATTTTCAATAGAAAGTAGAAATATTTTGGTGAAAGTGAAAAAAAATGAAAGAATAAGTGTTTGGTAAATAATGGAAAAAGTAGAAAAATTCTAAAATTTGATATCACAACATGTTTTTTAGAGACACATATATAAAATTTTTGAGTTATCCTATCACAATTTTTTTTATTGTTTATATATGTCTATGCACCGATAGTTATTGTTTATATATGTCTATACAAAGCATGTGATCAATAGAAACCTGAAATTTTTGAGTTATCCTATCACAACTCTTTTTTAATATCATATCTCAGTGTTTGGCTGGAAAGAAAAATTAGAACAAAATAGATATTTGTTGTTTGTTTAAATTAAGTGCATGTTTTTTGTGTTTATAAGTTGTCTTTTAAGTTATACAAAGTGTGTGTTGTGTACACACACACATATATATGAATTAATGATGTGTTTTTTAATACTTATAAATCACTATAAGTCAAAAAATAAGCCTAACTTATTTTTAACTCATTTTTTATCTTTCCCATTTTGATCAATTTATTTATAAAGTAATATTACTGTTTTATAAAATCTTCAAATGACTCATCTTTCATTTAAATCACTTTACAAAAAAAATTTAATAAATAACCTAATACATTAAAAATAACTCCCTCCATCCAAATTTAATCTTCTTATTTTGTTTTTCTCTCATTTCTAAGGGAGATCGACTATGCAATATATTTATCCAAAATATCCTTACTAAAAAGGGGATAAGGTGTGTTGATGAAATATTATAATGAAGGGGGTATTTTTTTCTCCTAGCACACATTTATATGAAAAATGAGAAGACTAAACTTATGGGTGTTGCTAAATTCATCTCTATTTTTTGTTATATCCACCTCTTTTATTGTAAATGGACAATTTTGTCCTTAAATGATTGGCATCATCTAAATTTCTTCTATTGTAGTTTTAAGGGCAAAATTAAATATTATAAGTTGAGTGGATTTAGCAAAAATGGGAGGGGATATAACAACACCCTAAACTTATAAGGAACATTATATTAAAGATTAATATGCCCCTCCGTCTAAAAAAGAATTACATTCTTCACTATTCAAAAGTCACGAAAACTTTTATTTATTCAAGCCTTAAATTAAGATAATAGTGTGTGCACAAAGACGTTATAAGAGCACAAACACACTCGAAACACAAATTAAACATAGTAAGACCAAACAAAATAAGAGCACAAAGAGGGACACAATTGAATACGAAAGGAAAAAATATTCAAGATAGAATATCTAAATATGATCTCAATGACAGCAATTTACAAAGACATGGCATTGTACAAGCACTCCCCATTTGTCAAATGCATTTTAAATTCACAAGCCTTATTGGCTTTACCCTACAAATTTCACAAACTTTAAATACCTCAAATCAAAACAAATTTACACATACACAATAAGTCTGGTTTCAAGATTACTGACCAGACAATGCCGCAAGCAGATAAATGGCGTCTTTTGACTTTACTACACGTTAAATTCGCCACTTTCGTGTGCTTGCTTCACTTGCTTTTCATATTCATCTTCTTCCTCTTCATCGCCGCCATCTGCTTCTTTCTCTTCTTCTTCTTCTTCTTCTCCCTTTCCTCCCCAGCCAAAGCCACCAATGGAGCACGAAGCTGGTGGGGAGCTCTTGGCTTCGTCCACAATTTTCATTATCTCCTCCACAGTTTGAACGGAGAAGGTTGGGTTCTCTTTCTTGTAATATGCTGCTTGAACCACTTCGGTTAATTCCCTTGGTAAGTTCTTCAAGAACCACGGGTGGGACTTGATCTCCTTGATTGTTATCCTCTGTGAGAGAAACAAAATAGCAATCAGAAAGGGGGGAAAACTATTGCTTCATGGCAAAAGCATAAATAAATGTAATAGTGAAATACGTTCCGAAAAATTCATCTCAATACGACGAAGACTCCAAAATTGTGTAATTATCACAAATGTTCCCAAAAATTCAATATTTTTACAATAATATTCCAAGATCACATATTTCCCTTGGAATATTATTGTAAAATAGTGATGTTTGGGAGTGTTGATAATAATATAATCTTGCAGTATTCATGAAAAAACTCTTATTTCGGGGAGTATTGGCATGAACTTTCCGATCCGTATTATATGGAAGACTCTAGGGATGTAGTATAATACTCTCCGCCCCAAAATTAAGGTTACACTTTCCTTCTTCGTCACTCCCTAAATTATACTCTCATTGCCTTTAAAGAAAGAAAATGTGGTTCATAATTTTATCAATCTTCTCCATAAATCTCAAGTACAGTTTTCACTTTCTTAATGCTCATGTTCGGTCAAAGTGAGTCATAAATTAATGGCAGAGTAAGTAAATAATCAAAAGCAAATCATGGAACTTTCTAAAAAAAAGGCTGTTTTGAAAATTTTGGGCAAACAACCTTTTTAAAATGAAGTTCTATCAAAAATTTGCATGTCAAATTATTGGCCTGATGGCTTCAATCATACAACAAAAACTAGCTGAATAAAAAGCTCAGGGAAGTTTATGAAGAGTAAATGGAGATCAAGAAAGAGGGTGCACCCTTGATGGATTGGCAACAAATATGCGGGAGAGAATATGCCTGCAATCCTGTGATATGTGGACATAGTCCGGAACCTTGTACTGCACAGACATTATACGCTGCACAAACAACCCAAAACAAAAGAAAGTTAGTCATTCCAATACTTAGTACCAAATGAGCTCTTTGGGTTTTTTTNGTTCTTGGGATCAGCCTGGTCTTCGAAGGGGTAAGCACCAACCAGCATCACATAAAGTGTGACTCCACATGACCATACATCTGCCAGCTGAAGAAAGTCGACCCAAAATTAAAAGAAAATCCCACTTCACAAATTTTGTCTAAGAAAAAGTATTTAAAAAAAGGAACATATTTGGTCAATCAAAAGCAGATCTCAAAATTAAAATTTACAGAATGTAATCCTCAAATACTATCTGCGATCAACATCTGGAAATGATTGGGAAAGTTCTGAAAAGAAATGATTGGTATCAGATCATATGGACGCAAGAGTTGCATACCTTGCCATCATACTCCTTCCGGGATAGTACCTCAGGTGCAATATAAGCTGGAGTCCCCACAGTTGATTTTGGCCTTGAGTGCAACAGGGACGACTGATTGGATTGGATTGAGGGATGGGGTGAGCATAATGAATGATCTTGTGCATGTATCAACTATCAAGTACAACACCATGAATTATGCATACCTTAGAGTAGCCAAAATCGCATATCTTTAGGCGCGGTGCAGGACGACCATCCAGGAGGGTATTCTCCAGCTTTAGATCTCTATGGCATATTTGCTGAAGACAAAAGGAAAATGTGGAAATTTTAAATTTGGGCACAACTCACCGTAAAAGATCATCAAGAGGTGAGAGTGACCTCACACTTAAATACTAAAAACAAATAAACAGCCAATGTGGTATACAATGCATGGGTGGACAAATGGGTCCAAGTAGTTGCCAAAGAAGCTGTCTCAAACAATTGAATGGGCGGCCACTCCAAATACCATCATAAGACCAAACGCTACTACAGAGTCATGTTAAATTGGGCATATCTCACTCACCCAAAAAGAATAATCAATAGGTGAGGTTCACCAACGGTTCAACAAGAAGTTGACATTTCGAAAAGAGATGTGATTTACCTCGCACATATATATAATACTCAATCGCAATAGGAATCCAATGTAAGATACTCATAACTCATAAGCATCAATATAGCAACAAAATTAAAAATTTTGTAATTAACGTACCATAGAGTGGCAATAGCTTACACCTGAAATGAGCTGCTGGAAGAAGTATCTAGCCTAAGTAAATGCGAAAAGAGACACATATGAGTAAAAGATGAATATGAAAAAAAAAATTAAATGGTTGCTTTCAGTAAAAAATAATTGTAACTTGTAACTTAAAAGGTAATGAAGAATGACTTTGAGCCATAAAATAGTAAAGATACCTCATCTTCACTGAACCTTCCAGCATTGCAGATTCGCTCAAACAGCTCTCCACCAGCAGCATACTCCATGACGATAGCCAGATGAGTTGGAGTAAGTACCACCTGTATACAAGAAAAGTGACTAACTATTTTAAGATTTACAAAAAAAGGGAAAAGGTACTCCATTAGCAAGCAAGAACTAAGCTATATCCATGACATTCTTTACCTCCTTGAACCGAATAATGTTTGGGTGTCTTAGTGATCTGTGGTTTATGATCTCCCGTGCCACATTCTCGTCAATCTACATTGAATTGAATGACGTAGTGAAACAATCTAGCCCCAACTTTTGAAATTTAGGAAACAAAATTGCCCTATGAATAATAGACATCACGATGTACCAGATCATTGTGAAATAATAATTAATTGCTGTTGGTTTGATCGGTTCAATTTCACCTTTTGAAAATTGTTGAATGAAAAGCCACATATAATAACTTGAGTCTGTTTCAAATTAGTTAATTCTAGTCGAATTTAATCAATTTCGGTTGGTTCGGTCTGTTTTCAAACGCTAAACCCAAGAGTCCAAAAATGAACACTGAACCAACCATAAATGGTTGGATTAGTTTTGGACAGTTCATTTCTGACTTATGATTGGTTACATTTATGTCAGTTTGACGGCTTATCATTTACATATCTGTAAATACACAAGGATATATAGAATCAAAGGACCAACTCAAGCAAAAATTCAAACCTTGCAAGATTTTTACTTAAACCTTGCACATGAACATTCATTTTTTTCCGATGAACTCGTGACCTCTAGATCAATAAAGCTCTTATAACCATTCCAAAGAATCGGTTCAACCAAAAGTTCAAGCTTTGTACTTCAAGGCCCATGAAATATTATATACTCCAACATATAGCAATAATTTCAAAGGGAGACTGGATACCACAATTTGCAGAAACAATTGCTTATACAGAGATGAGAGCCAAAGCAAACCTTGCGGCCTCTTTCGATGTACTTCATAGCCACAAGCTCCTTCGTCTCCTTGTTCCTCATGAGCCTGGCCACGCCAAAGTTTCCAGCCCCAATGTCCTTCACAAGCTCGTACTTCTCCATTTCCTGAAAACCCTAAAAATCCAAGCTTCCGTTCTTATTTTTTGTCAGCTCAATCGCGAAAAACTAAGCACAATTGCCTGAAAAGAGCAAGAAAACACCGAATTTCGAAGTTTAAACGATTGTACAAAAGAAACTTAGAAACTGAGATAGATTAAGCTGAGCTTTAACTCTACCTGAACTGGTTATATAGATACAGCGAGATTGTGAAAGATGGATGCATTGTTTGTACCTACTGGCACTTCATATAAAAGCATGAGCCCCATCCACGCCCTACTTTGATTGGGAGCTTGCACCTTCCACATGCTCTCTATACTTACATACGGAGTAATTACCTTTCAGTACACTTGTCCAATTTACTCGCATCTTACCTCTAGTCACTATTTACAGTATTTACCTTATCAACTGCACGACATCCACCAAGGCACTTCATATATAGAGTTAGAATTTAGCATGGGGTATGGATCATTGGATTGCGCAATAAGAAACTTGAGTTGAACTAAATTAAAAGATTGAATCCAATCGATTAGCTAGTTTAACTCAAAAACTTATATACCAGATTATTTTTACCCTTGAACTTCCGATGTAGGATGCACTTTAACACTCCCCTCAAGTGGAGAACCGGATCATTTTGAATCTAACTGGTTGACCACTTGCAAATGAACTCACATTCCCTTGAACGTCTAGACGGACACCTTGACAAACGAGGTGTGCTAAAATTGGCTCTGATAGAATTTAGGATAGATAGTAAGAACTGGATTGGGCAACAAAACACTTGGGCTGAACCACATTAAAAGATTGAATCCAATCGATTACTTAGTTTAACTCTAGAGCTTATATACCGATTATTTTACTTTTGAAGTTTCTGATGTGGGATGTACTCTAACACTCCCCCTCAAGTGGACAACCGGACCATTTTGAATCTAACCAGTTGACCACTTGCAAATGAACTCCCATTCTCTTGACTTTTTTTATGAGCGCCAACACCTAAAGGACCACGAGCCGCTGGGTATGGACTTTCAGACGGGCAATCGTGTTAAACAGGCCACAGGCTGTTGTGTACAACCTCCATACGGACAACTGGGCTAAAGACTAACAGGCCGCTAAGAATGAACGTCTAGACGGACACCTTGACAAACGAGGTGGGCCAAAACCTGCTCGGATACCATGAAAGAATTTGGGATGGGTATGGACAATTGAATTGGGTAATAAGACACTTGGGTTGAACCACATTAAAAGATTGAATCCAATCGATTAGTTAGTTTAACTCAAGAACTTATATATCGGATTATTTTACCCTTGAACTTCCGATGTGGGATGCACTTTAACAGCCAAAGAGTATATGAGTAGAGAAGTCGAAAGCTTTGACATCTAATATTTAACTTAGTCATTTAATCTCACTCTTACACATATTACAGACACAAAATAATATAGAATGTATGTAAAAATGATGGGGTTCAAAACATCTATTTTCACCCATCACTCAAACCAACCAATATAAACAGCTAACAATAATCATTTAATAAGGGCTTATATTCTCTTCAACTTATTCTTATTATTTATTACTTTTTCTTATTGGAATCAGTTGAAAATAACATAACGATTCACTACCGCTACTCTAAGGAGAGTGTATTCAATTGAGAGTTTAAATTTTTTAAGACTTTCAAAGTCTAAGAGTATTTAACCTGGATTTTTTAAAAGTCTTTAAAAATCGTGAAGTTTTCAATAGGGATTTTCTAGTTTTTAGAAATCTTGAGGCATTCAACAGTCTATGAATATTAGTAGTCCATGGACTTTGTTAAATTTTCTCCCGGAAATATGCTTACACAATTCTTTTCTCACAACGAGGGATTTTCTAGAGTTTTTAGAAATCTTGAGGCATTCAACGATCTATGAATTTTAATAGTCCATAGACTTTGAGTTTATCTTTTTATACATTAAATTGTTAAAAATATTACAACAATTAATTTTGTTTTATTCTAATTAAAATAAAAAATTGTTTTAATAATTATAACTTTAAATATAATTACATTTAGATCGAATCGGAATTTATTCTAATCAGACCAGAATAATAACATGTTCTAACGTCGTGTTCTCTTCAACTTAGGTCATTTTTTCATCAACTTATTTTTATTACTTATTTTTTTTATTAAAATCAGATGAGATCAGATATAGTTCTAATTAGAATTACATTTAGATTGAACATATTCTAAACAAAGAGAAAAGGACCAAAGTACAAGTAACACATTAAAAATATACGGAGTATCAAAATAAGAGTTCTATGTTTTTATTTTTGAAATAGGAGATAAAATACATTTACATTACAAAGTATGACTATGTACATTATGTAAAATGCACATATACAATATCAAATTCCTACGGTATAAATTTTTATTTAGAGAATAAAAACATAAAATTCTATTTTCATTTGATTTTGAGATTTTTTCTAAACAAATACTCCCGATTGACTTGTTTTGGTTGCCATGCCGCTTCCAAAATTGTTCGACTTACTTCGTGACTTCAAGGTGAAAGGTATACATCCGTATGTAGAACTTTTGACGTGATTTTATAATATATACAGTAATTTCTTTCTTATTGATGTATGGAGTTATAGATAAAATGATTTCAAAAGATGAGAGATTTTACCTCGTAACTCTCAAATTGTAATCAAATTAAGGAAGGAAGGCGTATATGTTTCTTTGTGGTATGAACTCTATCATCACCAAAGTGTTAATTATTTACTCATATAGCCAATATCTTAGCCCTAAATTAAAGTAATTAATACAAGCATTAAGCTTTCCATTCTTAATATAAATGTATCCCATACTCCTCTCCCAATTCATCTCATCAAATCTCCTTCTTCTTTTTTTACGTTCTTGAATTATATCTTTTGCTAGCGTCTTCTAAACCCAGCAGCATGGATAAATTATTTTTCATTATCCCCATCAATGTTTTTCTTCTAATCTGTTTAGCTCATGCAACCGCATCACTACCGGCATAGCATTTTAATGTCTATCATCACCATTCCGAGGAGGTCGTGAGGGTCTTAGGCACTGGCGGCCTGCCACCAAAGGATTCCGCATAATACTATTCTGCCCGGGCGGCTTTTGATCAACACCGCCACCGGCAACTCTCTCCGGCCGCTAGAGATTTGTCGGCATATACATTTGCCGGAGGAAATTTCACCAAATATATACAGCATTTGTGTTAAATATATTATTGTATATTTAATGTCTTTATATTTGGTAGGTTCCTTTGTATAGAGTTTCCTTGTTTATATCCTTCCATAGTTAGGAGACTTATGTTTTTGTATATATACGGGGCTTGACTCCACAAGATGAATAGAGAAAATAATTCTTCTTCATGGTATCAGAGCCTCCTTCCTAAACCCTAAAACTTTTTCTTCTCTCTCGTGCGTAGCAATCCGCCGCACCACCACAACCTAACGCCGACTGCCACACTCGGCGTCCTCCTGCATCGGCGTTCTTCTCCTCTCTCTGCGGCGCCAACACCAGCGTCCTTCTCTCCTCTCTGCTCTGCCGTCTCTCCACAGTAGCAACCATCTCCAGTCGCCGCCATGTCCGAGAAAGAGACAGCCTCCGGCAAACCCTCCTCCTCCGCCTCCACTCCTCACTTGGCATTCACGACAATTTCCAACGTGAAGCTTCATGTCCCGGTGCTATTGAGTTTCACGGAACCGAACTACAAAAAGTGGAGTCGCCTATTCCTACTCTTGGTGCGTCGCTTCTCTCTCGGCGACTTCCTCACCGGAAAATCAGCCCCGTCCGGTGCCGATGATGCTGATTGGTATCAACTTGACGCACTCCTCCAAGGGTGGATCCTTTCCACCATCAACGATGAAGTCTCCGATCTTGTGATTTCCTCCACCGACTCGGCCACGGCACTTTGGCGATCCATCTACTCCCTTTTTCATGATAACAAACCCGCCCGTGCCATGCAGTTGGAACATCAATTCCGGACCACAAGGAAAGGTTCGTTGTCCATCTCGGCCTATTGTCAAACCCTCAAGAACATAGCCGATTGGTTGGACGACGTAGATGCCCCCGTCTCGGAACAACAACTTGTGTTACAAGTGCTTCGGGGGCTGCCGGATGACATGCGGGGCCAAACATCTTTTCTGCAGTTTCAAACCCCGCCGCCAACGTTCCTCCGAACCCGATCGGCCCTCCTCCTTTTGGAACGCCAAGGAGCAGACCTGGATGCCGACCCTACCACCGGCACGGCCCTTCTCTCGGCCAGCAGCCATGGCGCACCTCTCCACAGTTCCGCCGGCGGGGGTCGCGGGTCCCACAGCAACAGCAGCCACGGACAGCATCCCCACAGCAGCAGCAGTGGCCGTGGTCGTGGCAGTCACCGTAATCGCGGTCGAGGTCGAAGCTCCGGATCGAATCCCCGCTCCACCCACGGACAGCCCTGGCAGACACCGAACCCCAGCCCCTACCCCGGGCTCCTCGGCCCTAGGCCCACCTACCATACCCACCCCCCACCCCAGGCCTATCTCACCCAAAACCCAAACCCCTACCCACCAGAAAACTACGGCTATCCCCCCCTCCA